GCCACCTCATTCTCTGTCGTCCCATTCTTCTATTGCCCTCACTCTTTCCCAGCATTAGGCTCTTCTCCAGTGAGTCCTTCCTTCTCATTAGGTGGCCAAAGTACTTGAGTTTCCACTTCAGGATCTGGCCTTCTAAAGAGCAGTTGGGGTTGATCTCTAGGACTGACCGGTTTGATATATGGTGAAAAAAAATATACAAAACTTCAGAAAAATCTAAAAAGGGGTGACTATTTAAGGATCTACCTAGCCCCACAAAAGTCTCTTAAGTTCAGTGAAATTTGATTTTAAGCAGAAGTTCTACTTATCTACCCTATTCTATTGTTTTCACGGTATTTGCTTTCTCGTTGTTGAATGCTCTTTGATGCTGTCTTCTGCTTTGGTTTTGGCTGCGTGCAGTAATTCAGAGAAAAAAGGGGCAATCCACAAGACAGAAAGCATTTGAGGGTGCATTCCACTGTCCCCCAAAATCCATCTGGTAAGGGAGAACATTTTATGAGCATCCAGGAATCTGGGACCCATGAATTTCATTCCATCACCCCTCCCAAGCACGCACTCTAGAATTTCAGCCTCCATGAGTAAAAAATTGGCAAAATATTACGCACCGATTGCAAGGGGAAACTTAAAACTGCCAGAATCATAGCAAGCAATTAAGAGGATTGTTTCTCAAATTCTTTTCCTAGGAACCACAGCCCCCAGTGGACAAATTAATTCAATGGACAATGGAAAGCATCCAGAAATGAGCACAGTGATTTCACACAAGCAGCTGGGACTTCTTCTGACTACAATCCTTTCCTTCAAGCGGAATCAGTCTCTTCCTTTCCACACCCATGTAGAATGTCAACATTTCTTTGAAAAACTATTTGCAACCCCCCTTTTCTTTCTGGGTGCAACAGCCTCCAGTTTTTACTCTCTCTACCTTGTCTGTTTCAATAGCCTCCTGAGTTATCATCCTTCCAATCTTTTGAATCTTTTCCCCCTTCTAATTATGACTTTCAGATACACCGTTTGACTACGTTTCCCAAACTTGACAATTTTAAGGCATGTGGACTTCAACTCCCAGAATTCCACAGCCAGCAATGGAATTCTGGGAGTTGAAGTCCACATGCCTTAAAATTGTCAAGTTTGGGAAACACTGGACTACAAGATCCTTCTATTGCTACAGTCCTTACAAGATTCTTCTATTGCTACAGTATCGTAGTTGAGGGATCATTTTCACTACTGTAGTTGGTCTCTTCTGCATAGATATTAATACCACAATCCTCCCTTTCATGGATTTGGTCCCTCTAGTGCAGGGTTTCCATACTTGGCAAGTTTAAGACCCAAAGACAGGAGTCATCTACAACAGGGGTCCGTGGACCGGTACAGGGCCACAGCATGCCAGCAACCGGTCCACACAAACAAGCAGCCCCATCCGTGGGATGCAGGCAGCACACAAAACCACGCACTCTCCGGTCCGTGGATAAACATTACCCCACAGAACTGGTCCCTGGGGCCCAAAAGGTTGGGGACCTCTGATCTACAACATACAATGTAAGAACTGCAACAACCACTATGTAGGACAAACAGGCAGAAGACTGGCAGAACGCATCCATGAACATCAACTGGCAGTCAAAAGGCATGACCAAAATTCTTTAATTTCACAACATACAGACAGATTTAACCATAGTTTCAATAGGGAAAATGTGACCATCCCAGACCAGGGCAAATCCCAAAATGCCAGGGAATTTCTAGAAGCCTGGCACTCTGACAAATCAGCCATCGATGGACACATAGACTTTAACAACATCTATAGACTATGCAAAAGAGACAATCAACCAGCCTAAAAGAGGAAAAGACTCGACCAGGAATCAGCACTCAGATCAGCATAGATTAACTCCAAGGTCAATTTCAGACCAACAATCAAGTAAGAGATATCCCAATCAAGAAACCGCTAAAGAGCCATTAGTAAACAACCCAACCAAAGAATCCTTAAGACCATCCTACTCACACAGACAGGCAAGACACCAGAATATAAAGCGACAGCGAACAGCATTCCTCACTAGCACTGGTGATGTTACCTAGTTAGGGTAATGAAACGTCTTCAAGAAAACAAGCAAGCTCAGAGAACATCAAGGACCCCTCCATTTTAAGACTGTCTCCCAAATCCACAACCACCCCAAATCTTCTTTGGGAATTGGGAAAGGCTAGAGATATCTCTATCGAGGCCTTTGAACTCTGGTGCTGGAGAAGACTCCTGCGAGTCCCCTGGACTGCAAGGCGATCAAACCGGTCAGTCCTAGAGGAGATCAACCCTGGCTGCTCTTTAGAAGGACAGATCCTGAAGTGGAAACTCAAGTACTTTGGTCACCTAATGAGAAGGAAGGACTCACTGGAGAAGAACCTAATGCTGAGAAAGATTGAGGGCAATAGAAGAAGGGGACGACAGAGAATGAGGTGGCTGGATGGAGTCACTGAAGCAGTAGGCGTGAGCTTCAATGGACTCCAGAAGATGGTAGAGGACAGGAAGGCCTGGAGGAACATGGTCCATGGGGTCGCGATGGGTCGGACACGACTTCGCAACTAACAGCAACAACACTTCCAATATGATGTACTGAATGTTCACAGCAATGACAGCTATGTAGGTAGATTTCATTTTGCACAAGGTGATGCGAAAGATGTATTCCTATTTTCCTATATAAATCGTCCGCAAAAACAAAACATTAACAAAAATAAATCTTCCCTAACCATCTTTTAATAAAAGGAAAAAGAGTTTTGCTTTCCTTTTCTTACTATACCAGGGGTAGGCCATCTTGGCTCTTTAATTATTATTAATTAATAACTCCAGCTCCCAGTCAGCTTTGAAAGATCCAGTACACCAATGAACAAAGACATGACGCGGCCGGCTTAAATGACAAAATTGAAAAAAAAAATTAGCAAACTTCTATTATTTGTTTTGTCAAAAGATGTCTACCTAGAGCAGCCTACTATGATGAATATGGGAAACTATGAGGAAATGGTTCAGGCAGAGGATTTCTCTGGACGTCCTTCTATATATGCTTGAAATGTATTCTATGAATGACCGACATGGCGCACCTTGGTGTTACCAGGGTTGCCAGACATATGAACACAGAAGGACAATCTTGGCACAAGAGAAGCGAGCACTCCGCAAAGCCAGAGCTGAAAATGCTGAAGTCACAGTGTCTACATTTCTTTGTTCAGTATGTGGCAGAACATTCCGTGCTAACATTGGTCTTATTAGCCACCTACGGACACATCGTTGATGGCCCATAACCCACAAGATGTCAAGGTCTTCATTGAAAAATCGATGGATGAACAACCAAACCAACTCTATGAATGAAAGTTTATTGTGGTATCAAAGGACAGGTGTTTGTTCAGATAAGATTGTCCGTGAAAGGATTGCCAAAAGGATTATAGGTACCGTATATGCCGGCGTATAAGGCGACTTCCGCAAGTGCTAAAATCGGCGCCAAAGACAGGGGTCGTCTTATACACCGAGTCGTCTTATACGCTGGAAATACTGGTAGTTTCCGGCATATAAGACGACGTTCTAGGGATGCAGCCCGGCGACAAAGACGGGGGTCGTCTTATACGTCGGGTCGCCTTGTACGCTGGCATATACGGTAATCGTTTAAATGTAGGGGAAGCAGGGGAAGAACCTGGGGGCGGAGTTAAAAGAGGGATCAGCCTAGAATCCCTACGTGAAACCCAACCTCCCTTGAATTCCATTGACCCTTCTCCAACTCCTAGCAGGTGCGAACCCTTACGTGAGAAGATTCCTGTCCACAGGCACGAGTAGCAATAAATCGGTTTAATTGGACCTTTCACGCCTGACTTTGACAGATTTATAGCCAACAGGTTCACTGATGGTTGTTGACATTTTTATTTGAGATAATAGGAAGACGTAAACTCCAGTGTGAATTGCAAATTTAAACCAGCCATCTTCAGCGCAATAAATAAAACATGTTAAATTCCCCAATTGGATCGTCAGACATCTTTCACAAAACAGCTACTCCAAAGACCAGAATCCCCACTTATCTTCCACGTCGCGGAGAAACAAATAAATAAAGAAATAAATAAGTGATAAGACATTTGGATTCGAAACCATTTTTTGTTTGTTTGTTTGTTTTTTCTGACATCAGATCACCAAGTTATGTGTTGTACACAACAGGATCCTCTACACAAACTGTCGCTGCAAAGCTTGCATAAACGGTGTATTTTAGCGATCCCATCAAGAGCTGTGATTAAACGCTGTTTAATTTACACAACCTGTCCCTGCAAGTCTGTCTTTTAAAGGGCCCAATCAGGAGCTGCAATCAAAGCCTATTTAATTTTAATCGTATTTAATTTAAAAAAAATAAAAATAAAAGCGATTTGAATAGTATATTAAGAGACAAGAGAGAGTGGAAGGTGATTCTCCTCCCATCTTTAAAGCCCTCCGAATTGCTTCGATTCGAGGAATGCCAAGGACACAAAACTGGCTGAAAGTTAACATGCAAATCAATTAGGCATCTTTACCGGAAGCCATGTCTAGATATCCAATCTTGGCTGACAGCTGTTATGTGGTTAAGTCAGAATAATCTAGCCATCGATTTCAGCTTATAGGGAGGCTTACAGGAATCCCCTGAGAAAAGAGGGAAAACGACTCAGCGCCAGTGAAAGGCTATCCACCCCGAGAGCAGCACAACGCACATCGCTCAGGAATATGAGCTCGAACACAGCCAATTGATATACAGGATCTTGGACCGAGGGCCGCGGCAGCACATTCAGCTTCTCAAGACCTGCTTGGGGTGTGTGTGTGTGAGAGAGAAGGGGTGCTGCTGCAGGCAACTGTTTTTCAACAGATACTGGAGAAAGCATTTGCCCGGACACACGTGTCTTTTCCTGAAAGCGTGGGGAGAAAGTGTGAGAGAAGTAGCCTAAATTGCATTTAGTCCAATTGCATTTATGGAACGGAGAATATCTCACGCAGCATTCCCCGCCCCCCCCGCCCCCAAGTCTTTTTGCATTAATTTCATTTCCCAAAATAAAACGGGTTTTGCTGATGTTTTAAGCTTGCCAAAAAAATAATAAAAATCTACAAACCTCTTGATCCGTGATCTTAACTCTGCGCGTCGTGTGTGTGTGTGTGTGTGTGTGTGTGTGTCCCTTTATCACCCAGTTTGAAGTTCTCTATAACGGTATGAGCCTCCACTTGACTACAACGAACAGCTCAGTTTACCGGAAATAATCCAGAGGAGAGAAGTATGGCTACCGTTTTTCACAAATCGTTCAATTTGGAAAAAATTAAAATATTGTAAATACTTTTCTTCCAAGTGCTGCAGGACGAACTATAAGGTGAAATATTCTTTGACTGGATGGCAGGTTATAATTTACGGGGGGGCGGGGGGGGGAGAAAAACCTTTCCACCTTTATGGCAGAAAGGAAGCACTGAGACCTAGAGTTAATGGGTTTTCCCCGTCTTCCTGCACTTAATACTGCATGCATCAAAAGAAAAAGATGCTTTTTTAAAAATTATTTGCACTGCATCCAGGTATCGCAGCTTGGTTAAAATACAACAGCAAACAGCAGTGAAAAGGCGATGCGCGACAGCCTTTGGCGAGGTGGCCAGGTTAAGATCTGCCGGCTCAACTCTCTGCAAAACCATAATTGTTAACTTGTTAACTGGGTGGAAGTGTTGCATAGCTTAGTACTGGCACCGGTTGAGAAACCTAGCAGTGCAGCCCCTGTGCCTTTGGAGAGTGACGAAGAGTCGGTGGCAAAGAGGAATATCTGGAGAAGAGGCATCACTTTCAGAGTTGAAAGATCAGCAAGGACAGCCTGGAAAGAAAAGGGAAAAATGATAATATTTCACAGAAGGGAAGGTCATTGAGTAACGTCTTCATTAGCACAAATGCACGTAGTCATTTTCTGCTTTGACTCTGACTGAAAAGAGTCACTGATGGAGATTCACTTCTCATCCAACAAGCTTAATATAATAGTAGTAAAGTTGGAAGGGACCTTGGAGGTCATCTAGTCCAACCCCCTGCTCAGGCAGGAAACCCTACACCATTTCAGACAAATGGCTGTCCAGTTTCTTCTTAAAAACTTCCAGTGTTGGAGCATTCACTGCTTCTGGAGGCAGGTTGTTCCACTGGTTAATTGTTCTAACTGTCAGGAAGTTTCTCCTTAGTTCTAGGTTGCTTCTCTCCTTGATTAGTTTCCACCCGTTGCTTCTTGTCCTGCCCTCAGGAGCTTTGGAGAATAGCTTGATTCTCTCTTCTTTATGGCAGCCCCTGAGATATTGGAACACTGCTATCATGTCCCCCCTTGTCCTTCTCTTCGTTAAACTAGACATACCCAATTCTAGCAACCTTATATATATACTGCTTCTTCAGTTCTGACTGAATGATGAAGGATGGAAGGATTTATATGCCTTGTAGCCAGGGTCACCTGAATGCCCACACCCTGAGGGCGCAGATGAACTTCCAAGTGGCCTCAACGCCTCGCCGAGAGAGGGGCTGGTGATCAGATGACTGCAAGGGACAGAAATCGTTCCATCCTCAACCGTTCAGTCAGAACTGAAGAAGCTTCTTGGATGAGAAGGCGAAACATTTTCAAGGAAATCAAAGCCCAGTTCCATCTGAGGGGACATCCTTGGGTTTATTGAAAAACCTTTCAGGCCTATTGGAAAAGCATACATATGTGGTTAGAAAAAATATTGGGCGAACGAGTGGATTTTAAACCTGAACTTTTTTTTACTAGGCATTATGCCTGAAAAGACTAAGAAGCAGAAATTATATTTAATTTTACACATCCCCACAGCAGCGAGAATAATTTTTGCACAAGGCTGGAAGAATGAAGGACTGCCACCAGAGGAAGAAATAATCACGAAAAGATTGGAATGTGCCGAGATGGACAGACTAACTAACTATGAGGATGAAAGACAAAGAAGATAACGGACTACTATCAAATTTGGAACTTATTTTATTCTTGCTTAGAGAAAAGAATGAAGGATTAGGAATTGAACATGTACTAGCTTAGCAAACGCCAGACAATTTGTTGATTGGAAAAATTAACATATGTTGATGGGAAAAAAAAATTAATAAAAAAGAGTGACAAAAAGGAAAAGAGAAGCCTTTCACTTTGATCAAGGTTAAACTCTCAAATTCATTGAAAAAAGAGCCAGAGCAGAGCTGGAAGGGACCTTGGAGGTCTTCTAGTCCAACCCCTTGCTCAAACAGGAGACCCTGTATCATTTCAGACAAGTGACTGTTCAGTCTCTTCAAGAGAAGAGGCTGAACACAAGCTGTGAACAAGCTCTTCTTAAAGTGGCTGAACAGAAGCCGGGAGTTAGAAAACCGGGTTTTTATTCTGAGATGTAGATCTCGTTCTAATATGTGTGGCCTCACTGGTGCCGAAGGGAGTCTAAAATTTCATCTTGTCTCTAAAAACAATTGTGTGTTAAGAATCTCTAGCCGGCTTGGGTTAAATTATAAGTCGGATAAATCTGTGATTTTAATTAAGTTATCAACTCATGCCCTTTCATTTTAAAAGTAACCTTTTTATTACTTCTTTTTTTTAAAAAAAAATCTTACTGGAAAATAATACTTTATCCCATCACTTGATGCTCCCAACTTAAGAGAATGCTGCAGTTGGAAGTATCACTGTTTCGGATAGGAAGGCTATGCAGAGAGCGATGAGGACAGCAGGAAAAATATTGGAAATTCACTTCCTTCTATCCAAGCCAGGGCATATAAGGGTTGCTTGAGCAGGGTCTGCAGGATTGAACAATTAACCAGTGGAACAACCTGCCTCCGGAAGCGATGAATGCTCCAAAACTGGAAGTTTTTAAGAAGGGACTGGACAGGCATTTGTCTGAAATGATATATGGTTTCCTGCCTGAGCAGGGGGTTGGACTAGATGACCCCCAAGGTCCCTTCCAACTTGATGATGATGATGATGAAGCTTCTTGGATGAAAAGTGAAATGTTTTCAATAAAAAAAAATGAGAAAGTCCAGTTGCCTTTTAAACAACATCTTCAGGACTACCATGACCTGGATGACTAAGAATCTCCACAGACATCAGGTCTCTTTTAAATTCCAGAAAACCTGGTTAAGACAGAAGCAAAATATATTGTCTGCTCAAATAGAACTTGGGTTTACAGCTGTCATATTCAAATTTCTTAGTCTGTTTTCGTCTATCAGTGGGAAAAGTTAGATTTAACACTCAGGCACGTATTCAGGCTAGTTATCAAAGCCATAAAGTACTCTGAGTTGAAAGGAATATTTTCTGTGTAATGACGGGATGTGAGACGGAAAGATATATTAACCTGCCATCTCTATACAGCAGTGGTTCTCAACCAGTGGGTCAGGACCCCATTTGGGGTCGAACGACCATTTCACGGGGGTCGCCAAACAACGCAGTCCGCCATTTTTTCCCCTTTTCCTTAGCTGTGCTACTCCATTTTATTCTATTGGCTTTTGAAAGCCAATAGAAGAGACTCTCTTGAATAGAGTCTAATTCTATTGGCTTTCAAAAGCCAATAGGAATTGTCCAGGCTGTCTCTGCCCTGCTGAGCCCGCCAAAAGTCCCATTCTGCAAACGGTGTTCCACCAGTTGAGTAGTCCTCGACTCACGACCACTTGAGTAGTCCTCGACTTACAACCGGTTGGGGGGGAGTCGCAGCATTAAAAAGGTTGAGAACCACTGCTATTCAGTGAAACGAACTGCCTGTTCCCATTTTGCTGGCAGAAATGAACATTTATCTCTAAAATGCCCCCCCCCCAAAAGCCATCCATTTCATAGCTGTTGACACTGACCTGCCTAAGAATTGTGCGAAAATTCACATTAAGGATGGAGGTGAAAGACATGTAAAATAAATTTAACTTATAATAAAATCACAATTCTAAGCGCAACGCAGCTGGGAAGACTCCTTGAATGCTTTATATGGAAAGCGACAGGCATTTCAGAAAACAAGACGGAACAAAATATTGCTGAAAACAAAAATAGCCACAGTGCGCTTATTGGTGGCACTCTCTTTTTAGCTACATTTGACTGTTCTCTGCACGACTCGGCAGATTTGATTAAAGGGGACAGCAATCGGAGGAAAACTCCAACCAGAACTGGGGGGGGGGGGAGGAAAACAAAAAAACACTGAAGGTTCACAACCCAAATTATTATTATTATTTCCTTTAAAACAGTTGAAGAGTTCTTACGAATTGCAATACAAATTTTCACAACATCTCCTGAACTTCTTCTAGGGTTAAAAAAAAAAAAAAAAACCAGCCGAGAGCCCGACATTGCAAGCTATGTGCCCATGAAGCTCAAATTACTCGGCTTGGCAACACGTCAAAAATTATTTCCATATTTCTACAACTGAAACTTATCCTTACTTCAGCTGCGGCTAGTGATGTCACCTCCATCAGATTCCCTGCTCGGAAAGCAAACACAGCAGCTGCCAGCACTGAAAAAGAAAAAAAAAAGAATGTGCAGCATTTAGACCGGTGGCTGTACTAATTAGTTGTTAACGATACTTTTGGTCTAGTTATTCTTGAGTTCCGTTTAATATTCTCCTGGCTTGGTAAGGGATCGTCAGTTTGTGAGAGCAACGGGCACGTATTTAAAGAGACCTTCCACATCCACCGGGTGCATATAAATCGAGTTTTCTCTAAAGCGCATTGTAGCATTTGGCTTACAAGTTCGCATCTGCCTACTCGTTTATTTGGTGAGGACCACTCACATGGACTGCCTTGATGACCGATATCCCACTGCCCCTATTTTGAGGCTAAAGAGAATGGGGAGGGGGGGAGATAGCAGCTGCAATCCCACCCCTCACTATAAAAAAGGAGTTTGCAACAGAAGGATTTACTGGCTCACAATTCAATTTAAGTGTGATTTACTCAAAGTAGTATCTACTGGGTTGATAATCAAGGGCTTACTTAACCTTCCTACGGAAGAACAGCAGAATGAAGAATAAATAAGAATCAATTTCTGAATGGATTGTGGTCCTATCTCTCTAAACCAGTGGTTCTCAACCTGTGGGTCGGGACCCCATTTGGGGTCCAATGATCATTTCACGGGGGTCGCCAAACCATGCTGTCCGCCATTTTTTTCCCTTTTCCCTAGCTGTCCTACTCCCTCTTATTGCTGGCCACACCCACTTGGGGGTCACCACAACATGGGGAACTGTATTATGGGGTCACGGCATTAGAAAGGTTGAGAATCACTGCTCTAAACCAGGGGTAGGCAACCTTGGCTCTTTTATGACTCGTGGACTTCAACTCCCAGAATTCCTGAGCCAGCACGGCTCAGCTTGGCAACCTCTCCCTTTCCCCTCAGCATGGCTGGCTCAGGAAATCTGAGAATTGAAGACCACGAGTCATAAAAGAGCCAAAGTTGCCTACCCCTGCTCTAAACGAACAATAAACAAATAAAATGGGAAAGTGAGAACATTTATCTCAATTGTTAATGTACAGAATATTTACCTATCTATTTATCTATCTATCTATACACACATAAACACAGTGGTGGGATTCAGCCAGTTTGCACCACTTGGGTAGAACGGTAGCTAATTTTTTTGTTGCCCAGGCCCAGAACGGACTTCCGGAAGCGGCATCCACACAGAGAACCGGTTGTTCACATATTTGAATCCCACCACTGCATTTCAGACATACACTAAATTAGCAAAAATGAACCACCGACTATGGGAAGGAAGGAAGGAAGGAAGGAAGGAAGGAAGGAAGGAAGGAAGGAAGGAAGGAAGGAAGGAAGGTCAAACCAGTGGTTCATTAATGCTGATTTGGTATGAAGCCGTGCAATAATTTTATCTTTGGCGAAAGCAGCGGAGATAGTGGAAGTACGTTAATCGACAGACGGCTCATTTTGACTCTGCTGAAATTACAGAGTTCCTGCACACCAAGCCATTGTGGTTTTAACTGCAGAAAGTCTGCTTAATCACAACTGATATACTCCCGGATTCAACAAAGCAGTGATTACCAGATTTCTGCGGGGCTAACGAAAATCTGCCCTCTCAATAAAACAACTTCTCACAGGAGAAGACCTTTTGCCTTTTTCTGATGAAAATGGCAGGAAAAAATGTATTCAAAAGGATCTCTCTCTTACTTTTGCTTCCACTTTTCCAGAGAGACAACAGAGTTTTGCTACTGCCTACCAAGGGACCAATGCAGTTTTAATTCTTACAAAGTAATCACTTACTTTCTGCTCATTCTGTACCCACCACAAGCCTCGACAAACTTTTTTTTTTAAAAAAATTGGAATTTCCTTCTACGAGCAGTGAGAACTCCCATCCCCTAAACATTACCAGCCAAAATTTCCAGAGTGTTGTATCCCAAAATTCTGTCCCACAAAAACAGCAGCTGATCGGTAGCCAAGTATCCAGAGAACGCTCGTACCATCCATTTAAATGATATTCTTAGACTGCAAAACAGCGAAAAACACACACAAAAATTATACTCTTCTCAAATGCACTGTCTCTATAGCTTGGCAAGCTTCGGCTTGCATATCTTTATATAGATTTCTCCACCCTACATTGAAATGTTTAACTCTCCCCTAATTGTTATAAAAGGCTCTTCTTCGAACACTAGAGTTAACTTGATGTATTTGAGTTCCAGTTGGCTAATTCACAATGTATCTCATCACAGCTTCTTAAACTGACTGTATTAACTCATGCCAAACTAAAGAATTCTAAGCAAAAAAAAAAAAATCAGTTCTAAAGGTAGAACATGGGCCAGAAATAGAAGTAAACATTGTTGTTGTTAGTTGCGAAGTCGTCTCCCACCCATCGTGACCTCATGGACAATGTTCCTCTAGGCCTTCCTGTCCTCTACCATCTTCTGGAGTCCATTTAAGCTCACGCCTACTGCTTCAGTGACTCCATCCAGCCACCTCATTCTCTGTCGTCCCCTTCTTCTATTGCCCTTCATCTTTCCCAGCATTATTAGGCTCTTCTCCAGTGAGTCCTTCCTTCTCATTAGGTGGCCAAAGTACTTGAGTTTCAACTTCAGGATCTGGCCTTCTAAAGAGCAGTCGGGGTTGATCTCCTCTAGGACTGACCGGTTTGATCGCCTTGCAGTCCAGGAGTCTTTTCCAGCACCATAGTTCAAAGGCTTCAATTCTTTTGCGCTCAGCCTTTCTTTTTTTTTAGGATGTTTTTTTTTTATTGAAAAGTTTTATACAGTATACAATATCAGCCTTTCTTGTGGTCCAACTTTCACAAACATATATGTGGGTATTTGGGACATCACTGAACATAGAATTAGAAGGGACATTGGAGGTCTTTTAGTTCAACCACGCAGATCAAACAGGTTCCAGACAAATGATTGTCCAATGTCTTCTTAAAAACCTCCAGTGTAGGAGCATCCACAACTTTTGGAGCCAACTCATTCCACTGATTGTTTTCACTCTCAAGAAATTTCTCCTTAGTAATTTATTTATTTATTTATGAGACTTATATACCGCTTTAAGTGCAAGCACTCTCTAAGCGGTGTACACCAGTAAGCAATGTATATATATATTTACATTGCCCCCAACAATCTGGGTCCTCATTTTACCTACCTCGGAAGGATGGAAGGCTGAGTCAACCTTGAGCCGGTGAGATTTGAACCGGTGACCTGCTGAATACAGTCAGCTAATTCTAGATTCTTTAATGGTCTTCCACCTATTGCTTCTTGTATTTAGATAAGCTTTATTTTATACCTTTGGACAGATGCCTTAAAGCAGGAATCTTCAGCTTTTTCGGAGGTAAGACCTACCTGGCATTCAAAAATGCATTTTAAAGGCCCCTTCTTGAACAATACATCCCATATAATACTTTTTCTTTTGCAGCCCATCCTTAGACGGGAGAATTTGATCTATCAGCTGAAAGACCAGCACGTTAAAGACCACAAAAACTGCATTGTTTTTGAGCAGGATGATTGTGTTAACACACCACCTCGAAAATGTAAACATTTTGTATTGAATAAATCCAGTATTGGAGCCAGTGATACTCTTATAAAATCATCACTTGGAAAAAAGAGGGTATGCTTGACAGAAATTACAATCCCCCCCCCCCAAAAAAAATCAAAGATTACAATTTTTATATTCTCCTCATATGGATTTCCAGACACACTTCAATCAATATTCAGGTTTCCCCCCCCCCCAGTTGCTTTTTCAATCCATTTCCATTGTTAATATAATAATCAATCTGTTTATTGCCCAAACCAGGGGTAGGCAACCTTGGCCCCTTCATGACTCGTGGACTTCAACTCCCAGAATTCCTGAGCCAGCATGGCTCAGCATGGAAACCTCTCCCTTTTCCCTCAGCATGGCTGGCTCAGGAATTCTGGGAGTTGAAGTCCATGAGTCATAAAAGAGCCAAGGTTGCCTACCCCTGGTCCAAACGGTGTATTTTGGCGCATTATTTAAAGCTGTTTTCTACATGAAAACAACCAGTTATTTATAAGACTGAAAATGGCTAAGGGAGCACCTTCCAATAAGATCAACCAACCGTCACAAATATCCTCCTCATTATGATAAAAATATGTGTTGCGTGCGCCTGTTCCGGAAAAGTGCCCCTATGGGGCAAAATCTAAACTTTTGGGGTGGGGGGTAGGTATTTAGCGACTTCTTTCTTTTAAAATCAAAGGAAATGATATCGTTGCAACTACGTGGCGTGGAGGAAGTTGGCCAACGTGCCTTTACAAAACTAGAACCCAGGTCTTCTTCTGCGTTGGGTGCAAGCAGAACATGGGATCTTTTTAAAGGTTAAAAGGAGGGAAAGAAGTCAAGCCACCTCTGTGTGCCTCAAATGAATCTATTTGTGTTTTCACTTGAAAGAGCAATACTTACGGCTGGGCTCCAATTTCTCGTAGGTGGTAAAACAGCTGTGGGAGGCAGCTCTGAAGAAGATTCTCAAACAGCAGACACAGCGAGACAATCCCCTTTTAAACAAGGATTTAAAAAAAGGAAAAAAAAGCAACTGACCTCCTTGAAAGTCCATCTCTTGCACGGATTTTAAAACACTAAAAATATTCAAATGCAGACAACAGCTTGTTAACGCTTTTCGAGCCATGATAAGCCAAGATTGTATTGGCCTGTAACAAGAAAACCAATTTGCAAGTCTGTAACATTAATAGTTTTGCCTGAAGGCCTAAACCTGTTCTGGCAGGACCTGCTTTAAGGACAGGTAGTCCTAAATCTCATATTTTAAGAAATGCTTTATTACGTGTCTGGAAGAAGTATTATTATAGGTTAAATTATAAAATTCCAATTTGGGGAATTCCTGGACACGCGATAGAGGGGGTATCTAGGGGAGTGAATCTGGATAGGATTTCTTATAAGGAATTACTTAGTTTGGTAGGGCAGGATTGGCAGTTAAAATCTTTAGCTGAGTTGAAGCAAGAAAATATTGTACACTCTTGGTTTCAGTATAATCAATTGTTAGTTAGGTGGAGTGTAGATCAAAAGGTTGGTATTACTGTAGAGCAGTGTTTCCCAAACTTGACAATTTTAAGGCATGAGGACTTCAATTCCCAGAATTCCACAGCCAGCAACGCTGGCTGTGGAATTCTGGGAGTTGAAGTCCACATGCCTTAAAATTGTCAAGTTTGGGAAACACTGCTGTAGAGGATGTGAATTTGGTAAAACAGATTAAAGATCAAACTCGAGCCCATATAACGAGAATTTATAATGTTTTAATAGAATTGGATTCTGAAACGGAGTTAGTTAAAGATTGTATGGTAAAATGGGCTCAAAATATTCATGAGCCGATTTTATTGGACACATGGGAGATAATTTGGGTTAGAAATGTAAAATTTACTTAAGCTCAAAATTTAAGAGAAAATTTTCATAAAATGTTTTATAGGTGGCATTTGGATCCTCAAAAGTTGTCTTGTATGTATCCTAATTTGCAGCCCAAATGTTGGAGATGTGGAAGCTTAGACGCAACTTTTCATATTTGGTGGACTTGTAGAGATATAAAAGCTTTTTGGATTAAGATTTGGTGGAATATTCAAAAGATTTTTTAAGAGAAAGATAAAGTTTACGCCGCAATTATTTTTGTTAGGTATTATTGTAGATTTTGATGTTAAAAAAATTAATTTGATGTTGAATCTTATAACAGCTGCAAGATTATTGGTGGGGCAATATTGGAAGAAAAATTCTTTGCCTACTATGGAAGAATGGATACTAATGTGTCTAATTTAGCAGAAATGGCAAAAATCTCCGCTTATTTGAATGCCTATTCACAAGAAAAATACATTTTGGTTTAGAGAAGATGGATTGATTATATTCAGAATAAATATGAGACTGAAAAGTATTATTTAGCTTATGAGTAAATTTTAGATTATGATTAATAGTTTAATATATTATTTTTAGTATTATGGTTTAATTATATTATTATTGTTGTTTTTAATTTGTTAGTATTTATCTTGAAAAGGAGTTAAAGTATATTATGGATTTGATTGTTAATATAGTTGGGTAATGTTAGTTAGATTATGATTGTTTATTTTGAACCCTGTAATCAGCTTTGGGAAGTAGGGGAGGGGGGGAGGGATTTGGGATATATATTGTGTAAAATCTTTAAAACTTTTAATAATAATATAAAAAGGACAGGTAGTCCTCAGCTCTACTCATTCGGTGACTGAAGTTACAGGAGCACTGAAAAAAGTTGACTTTTGAACCAGTTTTCACATGACCATCGCAGCACCTCAAAACTCAGGGGGGCTCGGTATGCATTTACGACAGTTGCCCTGTTCCAGGGTCACGAGACCACCACTGCTGACCAGCAAGATCAAGGGGAGGAGCTAGATTTTCCTTACAGCCACATGATTCATTTAAGAACAGCATTGATTCACTTAAAAGTAGTGGCAAGAATGGCTGTAAAATAGGGAGGGGGGAGTCACTCAACAACCATCTCACTTAGCAATGGAAATCTCAGGCTTAATTGTAGTCGGAAGGCGAGGACTGCCTCTATTGCTCTGTGTTAGACGCCAAAACTAAAACTCCAGGCTACCCTTGGTTTTTGTTTGTTTTTTTCCCCTTGCATTCCTTCCCAAGCCATATGCTTGGCAAGAGGCAAGAACAGCGAGGAGAAGGTGGCACACCAAAGGCGAACCAAAGGAAGATTCTCCATAAAGCTTTTAGAGGGTTAATAGCCAAGGACACTTCCATCAGGCGAATAGGAATAGGAATAGGAATAGGAATAGGATAGGATAGGATAGGATAGGATAGAATAGAATAATGGAATGTAGAATAGAATAGAATAGAATAGAATAGAATAGAATAGAATAGAATAGAATAGAATAGAATAGAATAGAATAGAATAAGAGCAGAATCAGAATGAACAGAATAGAATAGAATAGAATAGAACAGAATAGAATAAGAGCAGAATTAGAATGGATAGGATAGGATAGGATAGGATAGGATAGGATAGGATAGGATAGGATAGGATAGGATAGGATAGGATAGGATAGGATAGTTGGAAAGGACCTTGGAGGTCTTCTAGTCTACCCCCTGCTTATGGGTCATGAATGCCCAAGGACACTTCCATCAGATGAATGGAATGGGATGAGACGGGACAGGACGGGATGGGATAGGATAGGATAAGATAGGAATAGCAGAGTAGGAAGGGACCTTGGAAGTCATCTAGTCTAACCCCCTGCTCAGGCAGGAAGCCCTGTACCGTTTCAGACAAATGGTTCTCCAATCTCTTCTTTAAAGCTTCCAGTGTTGGAGCATCCACAACCTCTAGAGGCAAGTCATTCCACTGGTTAATTGTTCTGTCAGGAAATTTCTCCTTAGTTCTAGGTTGCTTCTCTCTTTAGTTAGTTTCCCTTCGTTGCTTCCTGTCCTGCCTTGAGATGCTTTGGAGAATAGCTTGACTCCCTCTTCTTTGGGGCAGCCCCTGAGATATTGGAACACTGCTATCATGTCCCCCCTCGTCCTTCTCTTCATTAAACTAGACACACCCAATTCCAGAAGCCTTTTCTTATATGTTTTAGCCTCCAGTCCCCTAATCATCTTTGTTGCTCTTCTCTGTACTCTTTCTAGAGTCTCTACATCTTTTTTTACATCGTGGTGACCAAAACTGGATGCAGTATTCCAAGTGTGGCCTTACCAAGGCATTGTAAAGTGGTATTAACACTTCACTGGATCTTGATTCTATCCCTCTGTTAATGATTCTGTCTCTCTGTTAATGGGGTATTCTAATTTTTACACACACACACACGCACACACACACACACATTATTGGGCCTTATTCAAAGGACATTGCAATTAGGCATTACCAACCAACTTACAGAAGAGTGAGAAGAAATGGAGTGAAGCCTGAAGAAGTAACGCACATATATTTCACGAAATATCTGATACAGCTTGGAAGGCTCGTTGTACAGAAAACAAAGCGGAGCAACTGAAAACATTAAAAAAAAAAATACCAGTTAGCAATGGGAAAATAAAAACGTGTCTTGTATAATAATAATTTTTTTTAAAAAAAATTCAGGAACGATGAATGTTAATAGAAACGATATGCTGATATAGTTGTGGAATAATTCATTTCCTGTTTTCCCTTCATTCGGATATGGGTTACCAACACTTGGAAGAATTAAGCAGCACCACGTATAAAGCCCCTCTGGATTACGGTTACCAATATCAAGAATTGCTGGAAGGCATAATTTGGGTGAACGGAGATCACCACATCGGTTGTGGCGTAAATCATACTGCTTTCAAAAGCAGCTGTGTTTTTTTTTTTTTGTGAGCTGGCAACTACTAATAAAATTGGCAGGTGCATAAACGCTGCTAAGAATAGTGCCTCTATGCAAATGTGGTCTTTTTTTTTTTCCTTCAAGCTGAGTAAAAGCCATCCAAGCAGCACCAGGACTAGAGATTCTGGAGGCTATTATGAGAGGCAAGCGTAATATAGAGGGGGACTTTCTTAACGAGCGTGATAATCTCCAGCCGCTAAACAACCACCACAAACCATCAACTGGACGGTTTAACATCAGAGACCCTTCTTACTGCCCTCAAAACATCCAGGGACACTCATTTTCCTGAAGAAGAAATGCATGGGTCACAAGAGGACCTCAGACTCATGTTTCGTGTAACTGTGCTTTGAATTCTTCAGTGGACATTATTCTGACACTTTGATTCAAGTACCCATTTTGCCCCAAAGCAGCCAAGCAAGCTAGGAACTGCTTCCACCCTGCAACGATATCTGTAATACCATCAAACATCCACATCTGCCTATCCCAGGTCCTGGGTAAGGACTCGATAGGTAGACAAAATGCCAAATCCAGTCTGAACATATGGCTGACTGTGCGATGATCCATAATAATAATAATAATAGTAATAATAATAATACAAAACTTGGAAGGGACCTTGGAGGTCATCTAGTCCAACCTCCTGCTCAGGCAGGAAACCCTATACCATTTTGGACAAATGGCTGTCCAGTCTCTTCTTAAAGACTTCCAGTGTTGGAGCATTCACCGCTTTTGGAGGCAGGTTGTTCCACTGGTTAATTGTTCTCACTGTCAGGAAGTTTCTCCTTAGTTCTAGGTTGCTTCTCTCCTGGATTCGTTTCCATCCGTTGCTTCTTGTCCTGCCTTCAGGCGCTTTGGAGAATAGCTTGACTCCCTCTTCTTTGGGACAGCCCCTGAGATACTGGAACACTGCTATCATGTCCCCCCTCGTCCTTCTCTTCATTAAACTAGACACACCCAATTCCAGCAACCGTTCCTTATATGTTTTAGCCTCCAGTCCCCTAATCATCTTTGTTGCTCTTCTCTGTACTCTTTTTAGAGTCTCAACATCTTGTTTACATCATGGTGACCAAAACTGGATGCAGTATTCCAAGTGTGGCCTTACCAAGGCATTGTAAAGTGGTATTAACACTTCACGTGATCTTGATTCTATCCCTCTGTTAATGCAGCCTAGCACTGTGTTGGCTTTTTTGGCAGCTGCAGCACACGGCTGGCTTATATCTAAGTGATTGTCCACTAGGACAAGTGATTGTCTAGTCTTTTCTTAAAAATCTCCAGTGATGGCGCGCCCATGATTTCTGGGGGTAAACTGTTCCACTGGTTGATTGTCCTCACTGTCAGGAAGTTTCTCCTTAATTCCAGGTTGCTTCTCTCTTTCATCAGTTTCCAACTGTTGTTTCTTGTCCTTTCCTCTGGTGCTCTGATGAACAACTTGACCCTCTCTTCCTTGTGGCAGCCCCTCAGATACTGGAACACTGCTATCATATCTCCCCTTTTTCTTCTTTTCTTTAGACTGGCCAAACCCAAGTCCTGCAGCCGTTCTTCGTATGTTTTAGCCTCCAGCCTTTGATCGTTTTAGTTGCTCTTCTCTTGAATTTTTTTCCAAACTCTCAAGAGATAAGAGATAAATAAGAGATAAAAGTCTTATTCATGCAAAAACCGGGGGCACAAAAATGGACCACCATGCTGCAAGGCACAGGGCACCACAATGTTGATGTGGCCCTGGCACTTTGCAATAAATAAGTGGGTTTGGGGTTGCGGTTTGGGCACTCGGTCTCTAAAAGGTTCGCCATCACTGTCCTAATGTGTGATCCAGTGAAGCAAAAGCACTTTTAAATATCTTGACATTTGCTCTAAATCAGTGTTTCTCAACCTTGACAATTTTAAGGCATGTGGACCAACTCCCAGAATTCCACAGCCAGCAATGCTGGCTGTGGAATTCTGGGAGTTGAAGTCCACATGCCTTAAAATTGTCAAGGTTGAGAAACACTGCTCTAAATCAATTATAGTTAGGCCTCTGTTCAGTCTCCCTTTGTGGATGTTGAACCTGTTCCATTCACACAGCTCTTCTAGTACAAGGTTATTCCTGAAGCTTAACATTTGGGAACTCCTGTTCCGACCGAAACCGCCAAGATACCAAATAAAGGTCAGCTTCCTCTGGAGCTGACCTCCCTCAGTGACCTTCTAGGCAACGGTCACCCACCCTTTTTAATTTTAGGGACAGCAATGACAGGTTACTTACCATACATTGAAAAGCCATGGAAAGGAATGACACCTAAAGGGGAGAGAAAAAAAAACACACATTCCATTTATTGTCAAAATATGTATGCAGTTTTCAGAAATAGGAAACTTGGAAAGAAAATTCCAACTTTCTGCCACAATGAAAGATTAGAAGGACAGGCTCAGACGCTACCTGTGGCGCTTTTGCTATACATGATGGGATAACCTCAGGGCATTTATTGTGAATTATGTTGGTAGCAAATACTGGATGTTTTTAAGAAGAGATTGGACAACCATATTGCTGAAATGGTATAGGGTTTCCTGCCTGAGCAGGGGGTTCGACTAGAAGACCTTCAAGGTCCCTTCTATTCTATTCTATTCTATTCTATTCTATTCTATTCTATTCTATTCTATTCTATTCTATTCCAATCTAATCTAATCTAATCTTCATTCCATTATTCTATTCTATTCTATTCTATTCTATTCTATTCTATTCCATTTTCTATTGTATCCTATTCTATTCTATATTCTATATTCTATTCTATTCTATTCTATTCTATTCTATTCTATTCTATTCTATTCTATTCTACATTCTATTCTATTCTATTCTATTCTATTCTAATTCTATTCTATTTTTCATTCCATTATTCTATTCTATTCTATTCTATTTTTCATTCCATTATTCTATTCTATTCTGTTCTATTCTATTCTATTCTATTCTATTCTATTCTAATTCTATTCTTCATTCCATTATCCTATCCTATCCTATCCTATCCTATTCTAATTCTATTCTATTTTTCATTCCATTATTCTATTCTATTGTAATTATATTCTATTCTTCATTTCATTATTCTATTCTATTCTATTTTCATTCCATTATTCTATTCTATTCTATTCTATTCTATTCTATTCTATTCTATTCTATTCTATTCTATTCTTATTCTATTCTAATTCTATTCTTCATTCCATTATTCTATTCTATTCTTCATTCCATTATTCTATCCTATCCTATCCTATTCTAATTCTATTCTATTTTTCATTCCATTATTCTATTCTATTCTATTCTATTCTATTCTATTCTAATTATATTCTATTCTTCATTCCATTATTCTATTCTATTCTATTCTATTCTATTCTATTCTATTCTATTCTATTCTATTCTATTCTATTCTATTCTATTCTATTCTATTCTTTATAATGTACTTTCCCTGGATGGATTAGAGGGGATTCACTACGCATAGCCTAAAGAACTGACCAAATTCAAGAATGTGTGCACTTGATCCTTGTTCTTCCTTGGCTAATTAAAGTAGCCACAAATTGCCTTATGACAAAATACTTCGTCAACAGGCTGAAGGGTGCAGCATGTGCTGCTTTAGAGGAAGATCTATTTCTAGTCACCCTTTAGGGAGGCTGTACTATGGCAAGATCTTTCTTTCTTGAGACCCCCCCCCACCATAACCAGTGTCAAGTTTGCTATTTCTCAGCAAATTACTTCAACATGTAGTCATCCTAGCAGCAAGAATTTTTGGATGAAAGGGATTATCTAGATCTATTTCAGCTTGGCTTGAAGCCTGGTTTAGAACAGCTTACATAATAATGATAATAATTTTTTTTTAAAAAAAGCAGTTGCTCCTTTGTGACTTACACTTTTTTAAAAAAAACCAAAATGGGGAAGAAAATCAAATAATCCAGCATGGGTTCTTTAATCTTCTGAGCCTGCTTCTGCATGGCCAAAAACCCTTGGAATGCTTCAAAGCAAAAAAAAAAAAAAAGCTCTGCCTACTTTTTGAACGATTATTTCTTTTCACCCAAAGTACAAAAACACGATTCAAAAGAACCCACTTTTAAAAAATGGGTGCAGTTCCCCCTGTTCCCATTAGAGGGGGCAACAGTATAACTTCTTTACCATTTGGCGGATAAAACACAGCATATTGTTCCATTCCAAGTTTTCCTGCAAGAAAAAAAAACAGAAATAACAAACCGAGAATCAGATAAGCAGCAAGAGAACTGCATGGTTTTCCATATGAAAAATGTAGACCTGTCACAATAACCAGAGTGACAAATTGGAATGAAATTCAAAGGGCAGGAAAAGAAGAACAAAAATCACAAATCCTATAAAGCTGTTCAAATGCAAGTAGTCAACCTTTCAAAATTTATGTTATTAAGGGAGAAATTTGTTCAGTGAGTTTTGCCCCATTTTATGACTTGTCTTGCCATGTTTATTAAGTGAATTACTGCAGTTGTTAAATTAGTAACACGGTGGTTAAGTTGAAATCTGGATTCCCCATTGACTTGGCTAGTCAGAAAGTCGCCAAAGGGGATCCCATGAACCCGGGACACTGCGACGGTCATAAATGTGGGTCAGTCACCAAGCGTCTGAATGTAAATCACATGATCATGGAGATTCTACAATGGTCTTAAGTGTGAAAAATGGTCATAAATCACTTTTTAAAGTGCTGCTGTAACATTGAACAGTCATTAAACAAACTAAGTCGAGAACTACCTCAAAGTAATGATCTAAAACAGTGGTTCTCAACCTGTGGGTTGGGACCCCATTTGGAGTCGAACGACCATTTCACGGGGGTTGCCAAACAACGCAGTCTGCCATTTTTTCCCCCCTTTTCCTTAGCTGTGCTTCTCCCTTTTATTCTATTGGCTTTTGAAAGCCAATAGAATAGACTATAGACACCATGGTTTCTATAGACTATAGCCACTAAAGACACTATAGACACCATGGTTTCCTTTTACTGCTCACTCTTCCCTACAGAATTGCATTCTGATTGCCAACAGCCTGAGGTCTGTACCTGGAATGCTCAAAAGGTAGATGCTTGCTGGATAAAATCCTTTTTTATTTTTATTTTTTTCATTTACTTGCAAAACAAAGAAAATCAACTAGAATAAATTGACCAGCCATCCGATTTTGTTAAATCCACAAGTCCAGGGATGTGCGGTATTTGTCCCAATTGCCAAAGTCTAAACCAGTGGTTCTCAACCTGTGGGTCGGGACCCCATTTGGGGTCGAACGACCATTTCACGGGGGTCGCCAAACAACGCAGTCCGCCATTTCTTTCCCCTTTTCCTTAGCTGTGCTTCTCCCTTTTATTCTATTGGCTTTTGAAAGCCAATAGAATAGACTCTCTTGAATAGAGTCTAATTCTATTGGCTTTCAAAAGCCAATAGGAATTGTCCAGGCTGTCTCTGCCCTGCTGAGCCCGCCAAAAGTCCCATTCTGCAAACGGTGCTGCACCAGTTGAATAGTCCTCGACTTATGACCGGTTGAGTAGTCCTCGACTTACGACCGGTTGGGGGGTCACGGCATAAAAAAGGTTGAGAACCACTGATCTAAAACGAGGCGCAATAATTAATCAACTTTATTTCAGCTATCATGCAACGGGCGTTAAACTTTAATAGTAACCAATGCAATATCTTAAAAAGTTTATTTCAAGCAATGATCCTCCCGGAAGAATACGGGAATGTATTCAATTTATTATCCTGCAGACAGATAAATAAAGAACCACATCTATTGCACAGTTCATCGAAGGCACATTTTTGCTCTTGTTTTCCTACTCTGTTTTGAAAGAAACGGACGTTTGTGTATTTTGTTAATTTTAAAATGATAGACACGGTGCTAAATATTGCAGGTAAGTAAAAGAGCTCGTTTCAGGGAAGAACAACTGAAAGCAGGAAAATGAGAAATGCACAGATAAGCTATTGCAGAAAGCGGGCTGAAATATACAGGTCGTCCTCGACTTATCACAGTTAGTTTAGTGACTTGTGATTGTTTTTCACACTTACAATTGTAAGCATTCCCCCCCCCCTGGTCTTATGATCAGAATTGGGATTGCTTGGCAACTGGTTCATATTTCTTTTTTTTTTTAATAATTCTTTATTTTTCCAAACTCTCCCCCATACATACACCGTAATACTTATCAGATGTTAACATACATTCCCTCCACACTCACATACAAGATACTTTTAACAAAATGAAATACCGTAAATGCCGGCGTATAAGGCGACTTCCGCGAGCGCTGAAATCGGCGCCAAAGACGGGGGTCGTCTTATACGCCGAGTCGTCTTATACGCCGGAAATACTGGTAGTTTCCGGCGTATAAGACGACATTCTAGGAATGCGGCCCGGCTATAAAGACGGGGGTCGTCTTATACGCCAGGTCGCCTTGTACGCCGGCATTTACGGTAAATACACACACATGACTTTTGGTGTTGCTCGCCCATTTCCCCTTTCACCGTATCCACACTCCTTCTTCTCTACCTTTCCTCTTTCTCCTTTTCTCTTTCTCCTCCCCTTTCCTCTTCTCCGCCAACCTTCCTACTTCCTTCTCCCCTCCTTTACTCTTTTCTCTCTCCTCTCCTTTCTTCCCTCTCATCCCTCTTCAGATACAATTCAGGGGTAATGTCCGAGCAACTCCTCTCTCCAAATTTCCCTATCTGTATTATATACAATAAGATTAATACTTCTATTTATCTAACCTTCTCGGTATATACTTCTATAAACATTTATACAACCTCCAGTTATTCAATACTGTGTCGCCTGGGTCTCCCTCCTTATCTGCTCCTTCTTCTTCCATCTAAATTGACGTTAACTATCTTTTAAACTGGTTCATATTTCTAACAGCTACAACTGGGGTCATGTGATCAGTTTTTGGCGACCTTCTGATGAGCAAACTCCACGGGGAAGCCAGATTCACTTAACAACCAAGTTCCAAACTGAACAACTGCAGTGAGTCGCTTAACGGCTGGCAAGAAAGGGCAAAAAAAAAAAAAACCGTCTCGTTTAGCTGCAGAAACTTTGGGCTCAAATGTCGTAAGTCAAGGACCGCCTACCGACATTTTGGTAGACTTAAATAATTTAGCAAGGCGTTGATTTTAGCTGTTTTCATTTAAAAAAAAAAAGAAATACAAGTAAATATTTTACTTCAGTTGTAGCTTCAGCGGCTGGATTACACAGAAGGGGGGAGGGGAAAGACTACATACTCCACCCTGCCAAAGATAGCAAGCGTTCATCATATTTTGTAGACTATGACAGGGGTCTCCAACCGTGACGACTTTTACCACTGGTGGACTTCAACTCCCAGAATTCCTCAGCCAGCTGTTCTTTGCAGCTATGCTGGCTGAGGAATTCTGGGAGTTGAAGTCCACCAGTCGTAAAGTTGTCACGGTTGGAGACCCCCTGGACTATGAGAGGCAAAGAAAGTGGTAATTTATTTTTTATATATATATAACTACCACTTTCTTTGCCTCTCATAATCCAGGTGTATTTAAATGAAAAGTCTGGATATTTAAAGGTCTGGATATTTAAATTTTGAGAAAAGTATGACTGATACGAGTGGTCTGAATACCGAGGGGAAACTCAGCTTTAAGAAAAAGTTTGAACAGGACATATAATGACTTTAAAATGATTTTATAAATACAATGGAAACATAAGCTGATTAGAAAATATGTTATATGTTGATGTTATCATGTGCACAAATACAAAAAAAATGTTAATATTCAACTTGATATGTACTGAAAATATGAAGAACTATATCTGTTTCATGTAGACAAAAAAAAATTATTATTGGAAGAAGAGAGGATCAAGAAATATATTACCAACTAACATATTGATTAATTGTAGAAATTAATTGCTATTGATTGTTTTGAATATATGAACCCAGACAACACACTGTTCACGAAGCATTAAAGATTGTTATTATAAAAAAAAATAATAAAATATATTTTAAAAAAAGAAAGTGGTAATTAAAAGAATTTGTCTATAAAATGTATAATAATAATAATATGAATTATTCTTAGTAAGAAGTAGAATATGAAGGAAGAAAAATGTAAATAAGAAACAACGGGGCAATAAGGACAAATATTCTAAAGAAGAATAAGGGGGGAAATGTAAATAATAGAAGATTAACGTTACATAATCGCTGTTAAAGGAGTATCTACTGTGTGTGTATGTGTGTTATGTTTTGCTTTGTTTTGTTTTGTTGGTTAAAAATAAAAATTAAAAAACAATAAAAATAAAAATAAAAGAATTTGTCATCATGGACCAGAGATGTCAAGCTTTTAACGTTTCCCAATCCTTGTTCGGTGAAGGTGATCAAGTAACATTTATAAAATATTCTGTCTCTTCAGCGTCTCTGTACGGCTTGTGCATGTCAAATAAACGTTTCTTTACCTCGAATGAATGATCTGGGTGGGGTAGCACTATTGTACGCGAAGTGTTCCAACACTGAAGTGTCTCGAGAGAAACAAAGCAACACCTGCAGAAAACACAAATTTAATCAGAAAGTTCTCTGTGAATAAGCTCATTTTTAACGGAACATCGAAAAATGCATTTCCTGCAAAGGGGAAATTTTACCACAATGGAAGGACAAGCAAAATGTTTAGACTGGCCTCTTCAAACTGAATGATGGTTTTTGTGTTCCTGCAAAAGCAACAGGTACTTCTTCCTATTTGGACTTCTTCTATGGAGTTTTGTAAAAAAAAATAACTTCCAGTTTCCTAATTTTCTAAAGGCAGCAGTAGTAAAAACTCAAACTGGATTTCCGGGCAAAGAATTAAACTCCCAGACAATTTTTCTACGTATAAACTCAGAAACCTACAAACACGACTGCTCCTTTTAGTCTGCTGCAAAACACACACACACACACACACACACAAAAGTCTACAGCAAATTTATTTCCACAAGAGATCATTCTAATGTAGGACGTACAGCTTATCTTTTTTTTTATTTTATTTTAAACAGAATTTTTCTAACTCCATGACAATGTTTCACAATGTAGGGCTGGTGCAGACGGTACCTTTCTGTTTAATATTTGTATAAACAAAATCCTCTGAAAATTGTATTTGTCAAAGAAAAGCAGAAACGTCTTGAAAAACCGTCTGGGCTTCTGACAGAGGAGAGAATAATTTTCTCTCAGAGATATGAGCTCACCTTTATCTTGAACAACTTACTACTTTGCTGGTTAACATTTTTTTCGGATGATAAAGTACCTTTATCTTAAATACACACTTTCAGCCTTATTTATCAGCCTCTGCTCCTATCCAAATGTACCCCAGCCAGCAAAGTAGTAATAAACAGGAAAAATTAAAAACTAGTTTATAAAAACCCACGTCAGCAGAAAGAGGAAAGAATGGGTTCAGACAGGCATTTTCCTGACTGCCACACAGATTGGGGGTGAAGGTAGAGATAATTTCCTATTTATTATTATTTTTTTCTTCCGTCCAATCATCTTCAGTCCTTGGAGACTGGCTGGAAATGTCTCCAGTATTCCTGGCAAGGTTTTCCAGAGGTGGTTTGCCATTGCCTGCTTCCTAGGGCTGAGAGAAGGGGACTGGCCCAAGCTCACCCAGAGGCTTTGTGCTTAAGGCCGGCCTAAAACTTGTGGGTCTCCTGGTTTCTAGGCCATAACCCACTACACCAACCTGGTTTTCCAATTTCCCACCACAGGGGGTCCTCAACGTACGACGACAATGGAGCCCATCATTAACTTCCCCACCTCAGAATTCTGAAACTACTTTTAACTATTTGCTCTAATAACGGAAAGAAGCTCGCCATGCTCCATGCCCCTTCCTGTCTTTTTATGTTTCCATTTTCATTCTGGTTTGTTACACGGGAACACTAATTGAACTGTTACACAAAGTAGTAAGATTTGCCAGCAAACTGGCAGTGTAAAAACGCGCTATTCAAAATTCCAGCTATGGATTTTTCAAGAACTTGCTTCCTCCCTCTCTCCCTTCCTTTCCTCTCTCCCTCCCTCTCTCCCTTCCTCCCTTCCTCCCTCCCCCTTTTCCTTCCTTCCTCCCTCCCTTCCCTCCTGTTCCTCCCTCCCTCTCTTCCTTCCATCCTTCCTTCCTCTCTCCCTCCCTCCTCCCTTTTCTTCCTTCCTTCCATCCTCCCTTTCCCTTCCCTCTCTCCCTCCCTCCCACTTTACTTCCTTACTTCCTTCCTTTCTTCCTCCCTCTCCCTTCCTTCCCTCTTTCCTTTCTTCCTCCCTCCCTCCCTTCCTTCCGTCCTTCCTTCCCTCCCTTTCCCTTCCTCCCTCCCTTCCTCTTCCTTCCTTCCATCCCTCCTTCCCTCCCTTCCTTCCTTCTGTTCCTATCTCACTATCCTCCTTCCTTCCACCCTCCCTTTCCCTTCCCTTTCTCCCTCCCTCCCTTTACTTCCTTACTTCCTTCCTTTCTTCCTCCCTCTCTCCCTTCCTTCCCTCTCCCTTCCTCCCTCCCTTTCATCCTTCCTTCCCTCCCTTTCCCTTCCTTCCTCTCTCCCTACCTCCCTTCCTCTTCCTTCCTTCCATCCCTCTCTCCCTCCCTTCCTTCCTTCTGTCCCTATCTCACTATCCTCCTTCCTTCCTTCCTTCCTTCCTTCCTTCCTTCCTTCCTTCCTTCCTTCCTTCCTTCCTTCCTTCCTTCTTTCCTTCCTTCCTCCCTCCCTCCCTCCCTCATATATTTCAACAGTAAGTAAATATTACATAATCAATTAGCCCACTTGGATCTCCTTTGCTTGTTTGTAAGCTTTTCTTTGGAAAAAATCTATTCGCCAAAATCCTGTTCAGGTAATCCTCAACTTGCAACAGTTCATTTAGTGACCATTCAAAGTTACAATGCCACTGAAAAGAAGTGATTTATGGGCATTTTTCACCCTGAAAACCACTGCAGCATCCCCACAGTCACACACGCTTGGCAACTGGCATGTATTTGACGGTTGCAGGATGCCAAGGTCACGCAAATCAATGGGGAAGCCAGATTCACTTAATGACTATGTTACTAACTTAACAATTGGAGTGAATCACTTAACAAATTAGGGGATTGGAGGCTAAAACATATAAGGAACGGTTGCTGGAATTGGGTATGTCTAGGAAGGACGAGGGGGCGACATGATAGCAGTCTTCCAGTATCTCAGGGGCTGCCCCAAAGAAGAGGGAGTCAAGCTATTCTCCAAAGCACCTGAAGGCAGGACAAGAAGCAACAGATGGAAACTAACCAAGGAGAGAAGCAACCTAGAACTGAGGAGAAACTTCCTGACAGTTAGAACAATTAACCAACTTGCCTCCAGAAGCGGTGAATGCTCCAACACTGGAAGCTTTTAAGAAGAGACTGGATAGCCATTTCTCTGAAATGGTATAGGACAGGGGTAGGCAACCTCAGCTCTTTTATGACTCGTGGACTTCAACTCCCAGAATTCCTGAGCCAGCCATGCTGAGGGGAAAGGGAGAGGTTTCCAAGCTGAGCCATGCTGTCTCAGGAATTCTGGGAGTTGAAGTCCACGTGTCATAAAAGAGCCAAGGTTGCCTACCCCTGACCTAGAGGAACATATGAAAGCATAATTAATGTTAATTAATGTAGACTTTATTAGTTTAGATCAGGGCTAGGCAACCTTGGCTCTTTTATGACTCGTGGACTTCAACTCCCAGAATTCCTGAGCCAGCCCTGCTGAAGGGAAGGAGAGGTTTCCAAGCTGAGCCATACTGGCTCAGGAATTCTGGGAGTTGAAGTCCTCGAGTCATAAAAGAGCCAAGGTTGCCTACCTCTGGTATAGGGTCCTTGCCTGAGCAGGGGTTGGACTAGAAGACCTCCAAGGTCCCTTCCAACTCTATTATTATTGTTGTTGTTGTAGTTGTTGTTGTTATTAAACTGTGGCAAGTAAGGTCATAAAATGGGGCAAAACTCACTTAACAAATGCCTCGCTTAGCAATGGAAATTTTGGGCTGAACTGTGGTCTGCCTGTATAGCCTTAGTTTGTCAAGATTATATCCACTAATTGTAGGCAAATAAAAGGCTGGAGAACAACTGCCTTTCATTGTGTCTCTGGCCTTGAGCCTGACACATGCAGACGCAGAGCAGACTTCATGAAATTATACACAAATGGAAACATTCTGTCCTCTTGGTGCGTATCCAACAGCTATTGATATATATATATCCAAATAAGTCCATTATAAATAGTCCCAAAGAAATGAACATCTGACAGCATATCCTTATCGCTCGGAAGCAGAATTTGGCAATTAGGTAAGGAACCTGAGGATCTGTGTCCGCTGTAAGTAACTCTGTTTGACCAGACAATTCTTTTTCAGAAATGGTTGAAATAGCTTTTGCCTCTGCGATTAAAAAAAAAACACACACACAAGACAAAACAGAACACAGGAAAGAATGTTCCACCTCCAGTTCTGCTTGAACTGCACGGTTATGAACTCTGGGATAATGAGATTTTTACTAAATCCACCCTCCACGACTTCGGAAGGTAGAACATTAAAGCAAGTTCACAAAAAAGGGAGCTTGTGAATCTTCTAGTCCAGAGGTTCCCCAATCTTTTGGGCGCCAGAGACTGGTTCTGTGGAGAGAAGTTTTCCCATGGACCGGAGGGATGGGGCTTTGCTTGTTTGTGCGGACCGGTTGCTGGCATGACAGGGTGTTGGGGACCCCTGTTCTAGTCCAACTGCCTGCTCAAGTAGATCCTGTACCATTCCAGACAAGTGACTTCTGAAGGCAAGCTAATCCATTGCTTTGTTGTTCTGTCAGGAAATTTCTCCTAGGTTGCTTCTCTCTTTGCTTAGTTTCCACCCGTTGCTTCTTGTCCTGCCTTCAGGTGCTTTTGTTCTGTTCCAGCCTATTGTCATCCTTGTTAACTTCACAAGGACAAAACCCCTGCTACTACAATAGGCTGGAGACTTGCAAACAAAAACCCCTTTTAATTCTGTTGACAAACCTGTCAAACTCCAGTCCAAAAGAACACAATGAAAAGCAGACACAAAGTTACAAGAGAAGTCACAAACCAAGATTCCAAGACGCAGTTTTCAAACGGTTGCCTTCAGCAACCAGCACCACCCACACCTCCTCCCTTTATTTAGCAGTCCTGAGGCGGTGCCTCTCCTTGCCGTTTCTTCTTACTTTGGAGGTGCCTCATTGACCTCTGTTGCCTTACTCTGGCTAATTGACGCCGCCTGCGTGCGTCAATTAGCAAGTCCATCTGTTGTGATTCCTCCAAGTCTGACTCATGCTCCTCACACAGCTCAGCTTCATCAGAAACACGACTGGAGGGCCCAGGCTCTGCATCCAACTGTGAGTCCCGTACTTCAGAGCCTCCCTCTGGCTCTGATGGCCCTTCAAATGCCTTCTCCACCTCCTCCTCAGATTCCTCCGACTCAGCTATGGGGAGCACAGGCTGGCACGGAATCACAACAGCTTTGGAGAATAGCTTGACTCCCTCTTCTTTGTGGCAACCCTTGAGATATTGGAATGCTATTGCTATCCTGTTGCCCCTCGTCCTTCTCTTCATTAGACTAGACCAGGAGTAGGCAACCTTGGCTCTTTTCTGACTCGTGGACTTCAACTCCCAGAATTCCTGAGCCAGCCATGCTGAGGGGAAAGGGAGAGGTTTCCAAGCTGAGCCGTGCTGACTCAGGAATTCTGGGAGTCGAAGTCCACAAGTCATAAAAGAGCCAAGGTTGCCTACCCCTGGACTAAACAGCCTCAGTTCCCATTCTTCTTATGTTCTATTATCCAGTCCCCTAATCATCTTTATTGCTCCTCTCTGCACTCTGAGCCTCAACATCTTTTTTTGTATCATAGTCACCAAAACTAGAAACAGTACAGGTTGTCCTCAACTTACCACCACAACATAAACAAATTTATGTTTTACTTAAACTTGTCGCCACGTCCTACCATCGACTGTTTTCCATTCTCGGCTGATACTCATAGCCCTCCTTTCTCTCTATCTGCCATCGATTCAAAGTTACACAGAAAGCTAGACAGGTAATCCTTGACTTACAGCCACAAGTGCGCCCCAAATTTTGGTTGCAAAGTGAGACATTTGTTAAGTGAGTTTTACCCCATTTTAAACATTTCCTGCCTCCCCCTTTTTTTTTTCTGTTAGTATGTTTTGGTTTTGTTGCCCTTATCATGCCCTTCCTTCTTTTTCTATCATGTTTCATTCACAAAAAAAGTTTTACCCCATTTTCTTGCCACTGTTAAGGGATTCTCTGCGGGTTGTTAAGTGAGTGACACAGTTGTTAAGTGAATCAGGCTCCCCCTTGAGTTTGTTTGTCAGAAAATCGCCAAAGGGGATCACGTGACCCAAGGACACTGCAACCGTCATAAATATGAGTCGGTTGCCAAGTGTCCGAACGCAAATTACGTGACCATGGGGGGGATGCTGCAATGGGTCGTAAGTATGAAAAATGGCCACAAGCCAGCTTTGTAACTTCAAACGGTCACTAAGCGAACTGTTGTTAAGTGGAGAACTGCCTGTATTCCAAGTGTGGTCTCACCAGAGCAATATAAAGTGGCATCACAGCTGATTCTCTTAATTTCTCTTAAGGCAGGGGTGTCAAACTCAATTTCATTGAGGGCCGCATCAGCATTGCGGTTGCCCTCAGGGGGCTGGGTGGGTGTGGCCAGGGTAGCTGTGGCCTACTGGGTGGGTGTGGATGGAGTGGGTGTGGCCTACTGGGTGGGCATGGCAAGCTCTACATCGTTCGCATCAAGGGTGCCTGTAGGGTCCTGGGCAGGAGTGGGACAGATCTGAGGGTCTCTGGCAGAAGGGGCTGGGATCGGGGCAAGCGCCAAGGCATGGTCCATTTCTTCATTCCTCACAAAGGGTGACACCTCCCCAGCATGCATCCAGGGGGCAGGGCTGACACAGCAGGGGCTGGTTTCTCGCTGTTTCTAGACGGCCTTGTGGAGCTAAGACTGAATGCATTTCAGCATAGATGGCCACCACAAAATTGTACATTGGCTCCCGGCTGGCCTGGGCAGGGCCAAGGCTACGCGGGCCGTTCCCTCACTGTTTCCAGGATGGCTTCGCAGGCCACATGAAACCAGTTTGCGGGCCGCATCCGGCCCCCGGACCTTGTGTTTGACATGTCTGTCTTAAGGTGATTTGAAAGCTTCATTTGGTGTCACGGGCAACTAGCCAATCCCTCGCAGAGATTATCGAAGTGTCTAGTTATGAAGACCTAGGACTGTTTCACCTGAAAGCCCACCTACAAATATATAGATTTTATTAGTTTTTATAGGGTTAGGGATAAGGTGGGGTCAGGATTAGGGTTTAGGATTTGGGCTAGGGTTGAGGTTTTTCCAAATAACATTTTCAATATCTAGCAAACAGCATAATGTCTGCGTACATGTATTTAACTAACAATAATAGATATAGTTAATTATCATAAACAATATGTTGATTCATCACTCAATAGCCTTCTTCTTGCTAATATAGATTCAAAATTACATATCACGTTCATTTCTCACTAGTTCGTTTTCCTAACCATTGGTAAAAGTTATCCCATGTTCTAAAGTAGATAGACTGAGTCTTCTTTCTCTTTAATCTTTAAAGTCCATCTATCCATTTCTGCACACTCTAGAATTTTCTTAATTAGTTACTTCTTCGGCTGGTAAGTTTTCATCTTGCCAATGTTGGGCAACTACAATTCTTGCTGCCCACCTACAAATATAAAATACTGGCTAGAAACTAGGGCAGAAGAGAACACTGACTTCATTGCTGTAGAATTGCCTAGCCTGACACACGTACAAAAACGGTCGTCCTGGCGTTTTACAGCTTGGGTGATGCAGCTTTCTTTTATTTAAATAAATAGACGTTTCAGTCTATTATTCTTAGGGCTGTAGTTTGAAGTCAGATAGCATCTTCAACAGCTGCAAGCTTTTATTTTGCAAGCTTTCTTAATTGCCGAGGCAGTTAGGCAAATATCTTTAATGATGATTTAGAGCGCATTGGATTTTTTTTGCCTGTGCTTTATTCTCAGAATATACAGAATACTCTTATCAACTAAGCTAAGGAATGCTTGTCTGGTGCAGCTACAAAAAAAAAAAAAAAAATGAAAAAAAACCACTCCCAACAGCTTTGACTAATTGGGTTGAAAGTAACCTTGAAAATGAGATGCTAACCCCATGACACTTATACTGACATTATAATCAAATGTACTTAGCAAATTTGCAAATGTAATAACCTTTCATTAAAAGAGATTTAAAAGAAGCAACGTAGACAACTACAAGCACACACACACACAGCTTCCTTTTCAACGGAAGCAAAGGTAATATATTATGGATGCATAAATTATGGGTACTATTCCAAGAGTCACAGTAGTAAATTCTATTATATATTATAGGTTACTTCTTTTATATATGCCTAAGTCGGTTCCCTTTACCTTTAAATCATCTTTAAATGTTTAAAACTTGTATTTTTTTTTCCTGATGCCGTTTCCAGAAGAACACCTAAAAGGACCCAAATTTCTCCTTAAAGCCACCTCTTCTTCTAAACCCCTAGCTACCGCTCATTAATCTTCACTGCAAACAAAGGCAATGCTTAGAACAACTGTAGGCCTCGGCCGCCATGTGCAAAAAGAAAAAAAGTTTCAATCAATCAATCTTGCAAAGTTGGAATTGATTGATTGAACTTTTTAGTCCCACCCAGTCTGCCGTTACCAGCACAGCCACGACCACCCAATGGGCCACACCCACCCGGCACTCAACGATGCATAAGTGGGTTTTGGGTTGCAGTTTGGGCACGCGGTCTCTAAAAGGTTCGCCATCACTGAACTACTGCAAGGAACAGCAGAAATTAAGAAATAGTACTGAAATTGCTTTGATCCAGTTGCAAAGTTCTAGGTCTCTATGATTCAGAGATTAGCTAGTGAAATCAATCAACCAAACTGCACGGGCTGCCACAATTTACCAGAAGTTTGCAAGAGATTCAACAATGGTTTGAACTTATCCAACAGATACATTATCTTTATTTAACTTTATCGATTCAGAGCTGTCTACGGTTGATGTTAACAATCCACAGGCAACAACTGAATGATTTCTTAATGGGTAATGATTTATACAGTCACTCAGGAGGCCAGTTCTGTACAGATTTACTTAAAGATAAGCCCCACAAAACACAGTGGAATTTACTCTTGTGTAGATCCACATAGCAATGCACTGGAGCTCGACTTACAGCAGCTGTTGCACTGCAAGTTTTATTTGATCTACAAAGTAAACAGAACAAACTATATTCTGCCCCAGGTGTCCTTCTTCCAGGGACATGTGATTTGCCATTTGGTCTACGTAAATACTTACTTGATATAAGTAATCCTCAAACACGAAGTAATAGTCATCATTGCTAGCTGTCAGTTTCACATCCTGAAATCAAAAAATGTAACTTTCTGAAGCTGAGCAACATTTTTTCCACCTGGGCATCTCTCACACTGTACACAATATAACAAGACCCAGCACTATACTATACTATACTATACTATACTATACTCTACTCTACTCTACTCTACTCTACTCTACACTACACTACACTACACTACACTACACATACTACTCTACTCTACACTACTCTACCCTACCCTACTCTTATTCCATTCCAGTTCTATTCTATTCTATTCTATTCTATTCTATTCTATTCTATTCCATTCCAGTTCTATTCTATTCTATTCTATTCTATTCTATTCTATTATCTGGCATTAACAATAGTTATGGCACTAATCATATATAAACTTGGTGTTTCGTCAACTTCTAATTTTCAAATACAATGAAAAGTTCCATCAGAATCATTGATCTATAATGAAAAAACAACAACAACAGAATGACAGAGTTGGAAGGGACCTTGGAGGTCTTCTAGTCCAACCTCCTGCTCAGGCAGGAAACCCTATACCATTTCAAACAAATGCTTGTCCAATCTCGTCTTTAAAACCTCCAGTGATGGAGCGCCCACAACTTGTAAAAGCAAGCCATTCCACTGGTTAATTGTTCTCACTGTCAAGAAGTTTCTCCTTAGTTCTAGGTTGCTTCTCTCCTTGATTAATTTCCACCCGTCTTGCTTTCTGGTGCTTTAGAAACTAGGTTGATTTCCTTCTTCTTTGTGGCAGCCCTTTAGATATATCACCCCTCGTCCTTTTTTTCATTAAACTTTACATACCCAATTCCTGCAACTATTCTTGATAGGTTTTAGCCTCCAGTCCCTAATCGTCTTTGTTGCTCTGCACAGATATGCTTGATTTGATTCTATCACTTCTAATTAGTTTTCCTCATTGCAAGTTTTCCATTGTATCACTTTCTGTTTTTTTTTTTTAGCATGAGAGGAATGATTATCTTAGAAATAACAGCCCTGAAATAGTATTGTCCACCTATCATGAATAGCTTCCAAAGAGCCACTCCAGAAAAAAAAACAGTTGCAGTAACAAATTAGGACTGGTAATGCAAAGTTCATGGGAAAGGCTGGATTTGCTTAACAACTGTGTGATATGCTTAATGATTGAGCAACAAAGAGTAACAAAGATGATTAGGGGACTGGAGGCTAAAACATATAAGGAACAGTTGCTAGAATTGGGTATGTCTAGTTTAATGAAGAGAAGGACGAGGGGGGACAGGATAGCAGTGTTCCAATATCTCAGGGGCTGCCACAAAGAAGAGGGAGCCAAGCTATTCTCCAAAGTGCCTGAAGGCAGGACAAGAAGCATCGGATGGAAACTAATCAAGGAGAGAAGCAACCTAGAACTAAGGAGAAACTTCTTGACAAAACAATTAACCAGTGGAACAGCCTGCCTCCAGAAGCAGTAAATGCTCCAACACTGGGAGTTTTTAAGAAGAGACTGGATAGCCATTTGTCCGAAATGGTGTAGGGTTTCCTGCCTGAGCAGGGGGTTGGACTAGATGACTTCCAAGGTCCCTTCCAACTTTACTACTATTACTACTACTACTACTACTACTACTACTACTACTACTACTACTACTACTATTATTATTATTATTGTAAAACCAGGCATGATTTGTTTAACAACCACATCACTTAGCAAAGAGGTTTCAGTCCCAATTGTGGTCATACATTAAGGAGTGCCTGTATAACATAAAGCAGAATTCCAGAAGTTCTTGTAGTGTCCATTTCCTGGGCTGCCCTGCACTGAAGGGGTGTCCTTCGTATCATGCCAATATATGAAGAATTCATAAAAGAATTTCAAGAAAGCAAACAAATGGATCATCAAACAAACCAACTCTTGCTTTTAAATATAAAACAACCACTGTCGGTGTGAAGAATCAGGATCACACGTTAAGTTCCAGTTAAACTGATTTATTGCTCATGCCTATACATAAAAATCTAGTCAACTAATGGTTAGCATCAAATTGGCGCTAGATAAGCGTTAATGGAAGTCAAGGGAGGGGGCTGGACTTGGAAATTTGTGGACATGCAACGATTCTAGGCTGAGTCCTCTCTTGACTCCACCCCAGGCTGTGCTTCTCCTTCTTCTACAAGCGCTGAAGTATTTACATTATTTGTCAGTTCCAAAATATTAATCTGGAACCCTCAAAAAGCAAAGCAAAAGCAACACAAGAACCCAAAATGTTCACTGTACTCCATAAATTAGATCCGCTTCTTATTGTTTCCCAACTTCGCAATATTTAGTTATACTGTATCTTTAAAAAAAATCCCAGCACAAAATATTGTGGAATCCAGCAACTGACATGCCTCAAATCTCCATTTATTCTTGTGCTTATTATTTAACTAGTTAGCAGTCCAAACTATGAGGGCTTTTCCCCCCCATTTATTCAGGAAATGAAATGGCTTCTGATCAAGTTTTCGAATGCCCAAGATTGTGTTTGGCTAAACTGAGATATTTTACATTCCAAAGGACTCTAAAAAGGTGCAGAAGTCGGAATTCTTGTAACAAGAGTCATGCTGATTTTGATTCAACTGTTCGTACTTCTACCTTAACACCACATTCAAAAGTTATATTATGGTGATCATAGCAGAACCATATGTATTTCCACTCCTTCATATTAGCCAGAAATTCAAGGTCCTTGAATTAGTGTGCTACCCAGTGGTGGGATTCAAATCCCTGAACAACTGGTTCTCTGCGTGGATGCAGGCCTGGGCCTTTGAGGCCTAGAACGGACTTCCGGAAGTGGCATCCCTGCACTTCCGGTGGGCTGTTCTAGGCCTGGGAGGTCTCCTCCAGGCCTCTGAAGCCTAGAACAGACTTCTGGAAGTGGTATGCATTCAACCGGTTCTCCAAACTCAACAAAATTTAGCTACCAGTTCTGCCGAACTGGTGCGAACCGGCTGAATCCCATCACTGGTGCTACCTGCTATCTTGCAAGCAGAACACAATCAGTAAGATTAATCATTATAAAAGGCCATTAATTAAGCACAGGTTTTAATTTCACAGCAAATGTTCTTTTTCACTACACAGAGCCTAAAGGCTGAGTAACACATTAATTACTGACGACAGAAATATGCAAATCAAAAATTACTCACTTTATAAATCAGACTGTCCACCAAAAGATTGTACTGGATGACATTAGACTTCAGTTGTTCATAATACAGGATATCCTAAAATGAAATAGTTAATAATAGTAATTACATTGGAACTAACACAATCAAGGCCAGAATTGGGGTGGGGAAAAGCATCAAATGTTTCAAAGTGGAGATTGTGCAAAGAGGCAGAAGAAACAACAGATTATATACTCAGCTCATGTGAGAAAACTGCACAAACTGACTACACACAAGAACATAACACCGTTGCCAAAACGATTCATTGGACCATCTGTAAAAATTATCATGTGCCAGTAATGAAAAACTGGTGGGAATACAGAATTGAAAAAATAGTAAAAATGGGCAGCTTAAATCAGGGATGTCAAACTTGCAACATCATGTGACGTGTCGCGACGTATTGTGACTTTTTTCCCATTGCCGGCAATGGGGTGGGCGCAGTTTCAGCATGATGCATCTAGCCTGCGAACCAGCAGTTTGACACCCCTGGCTTATAACATTGTGGGATATCCGAGTACAGATTGGTAGTCTTAGTTCATAATAAACAAGATTTAACTATGAAAAAGTTAACTATGAAAAGAATAATCTGTGGATAATTGATGCGGCAATACCAGAGGATAGTAGAGAATGAAGAATTGGCGAAGATCACAAACTATTAAGATCTGAAAATTGAAACTGAAAGATTATGGCATGAACCAGCCATAGTAATGCCATACCAAAAAATCTTGGATGGTACTTAGAAAAATCTGTGCGTTGACGAACTTTCTACCTGTCAATTGCAAAATATGGGTCCACACATATACTATGTTGATATATCACATCATCAAGAAATTTTTGCATATGAAGACCTGTACTAGCTAAACAACTGGCACCTGTAATTTCACACACACACACACACACCTGTGAACAGATAATTGTAAAAATCAATAAATGTTACTGAAAACCACACAATTTTAAAAACTGCTAGTTTTGTTCAGTTGTGAAACCGTCTTGATAAAAATATTTCATATTTACCCTTGCTGTGAATGAATTTAATTTATTGCCTGTTTGATATGGTAGATGAGAGTTTTTGGCTATAATAATGATGTCAGTGTTTTTAAATATTATTGTTCTAAAGCTCTTATATAACCAGCTCTGATTATAGTGGAAAGGCAGAACTGAATTTCTTACATAAATAAATGAGTTCCAAAAATAAAAAGTGGAATTAGGAAAAGGTTCCTCAAGGATATTTGAATATAATCTCAGAAACATTGTTAGACAGTTATCATCAAAATGAATGAAACATAACCAAGCAAGGAATAATAAACATTTTAAAACAAGGATACGTAAGATTCATTTCCATACGCATTTATATTCTATGATTAACACAGAAACTGTTATCAAGAATGGACTTGAAAGGTGATTAAGGGACATTTGTGGGATAGGATTTCATTTTTTTTTAATTTTTAAAACAAATACAAACAATGACAAAGAAATACAGTAGGAGTTAAATTTTAAAAAGTGTGATATTATAGTGATTAAAAAACTAAATGCAACAGAAGAGGAAAAAAAGAACTTTTTAAAAAAATCCACGGGCATTAATGAATTCGATTTTTCTCTTGACCCTATAACACAGTGGTTCTCAACCTGTGGGTTGGGACCCCATTTGGGGTCGAACAACCATTTCACAGGGGTCGCCAAACAAGGCTGTCCACCATTTTTTCCCCCTTTTCTTTGGCCACGCCCTTGGCACCTGGTGATCTATAAGTGATTGGGGGGTCACCACAACATGGGGAACTGTATTATGGGGTCGCGGCATTAGAAAGGTTGAGAACCACTGCTATAACACATATTGCTTCAACTTCTCATTTTCCAACCTTTATGCACAATAATCCATTTCTTCGTAGCAGGAGAATAACAAATCATGAAGTTCATCCTAGGTTTACCAATTGAATTGCTATGCCTTCTGAAAATACTGCATAAGGATTCAACAATCTTACAATTTCGGAGCATAAGTTAATTATCTGCTTGACTGAGTTACATCTGCAGACAATTCTTAGGTTAGATATAACATTGAGAATGACTTCCTTGTGGCATCTGGCTACTTGAGGACAGAAAACAGGTGGTTGACTTACCTCAGAGAACAGGTAGAAAGAAAGCAATTCCACTAGCTTAGGGGTCTTCAGACTTGGCCCTTTTATGACTCGTGGACTTCAACTCCCAGAATTCCTGAGTCATCTTGGCTCAGCTTGGAAACCTCTCCCTTTCCCCTCAGCATGGCTGGCTCAGGAATTCTGGGAGTTGAAGTCCACGAGTCATAAAAGAGCCAAGGTTGCCTACCCCTGCCCTATACCATTTCAGACAAATGGTTGTTCAGTCTCTTCTTAAAAACTTCCAGTGTTGGAGCATTCACAGCTTCTGGAGGCTGGTTGTGAACTACTACTAAGTCGAGGACTATCTGTATTTTATCTTGATGTCCACGAGTCATAAAAAAGCCAAGGTTGCCTACCCCTGGGCTAGAAAAACGAGGTAAAGAGAAAGGAATTTAACATGTATTAGTACAGTGGTTCTCAACCTGTGGGTCGGGACCGCATTTGGGGTCGAACGACCATTTCACGGGGGTCGCCAAACAACGCAGTCCGCCATTTTTTTCCCCTTTTCCTTAGCTGTGCTACTCCCTTTTATTCTATTGGCTTTTGAAAGCCAATAGAATAGACTCTCTTGAATCTATTAACAACTGTGGCAAGAAAAGCCATAAAATAGTTCAAAACTCACTTCACAATTGTCCCACTTAGCAAGAGAAATTTTGGGCTCAATTGTGGTTGTTAAGTCAAGGATTACTTATATAGAACAATAACACAAAAATTTCACAGTGACTAGTCAATTTCATTAGATTTCTAGAAACATTTTTTAAATTACTGATTTCCATGACAAGTTTTTTTTTATATACTTTCAATCATTTAAAGGATTCCAGGAAACTGAATTAAACCGTATCTTTTAAAGTGAATTTAATGTTTCCTTTGCTTGAATTCTGTTTTGCCCTGTAATTCCCAAACATATTGGTGGCATCATTTATTTTATGTATTAAACCAATTCGCAGGGCAGGCTATCTCTCCCAGAAACTCTGGCAGGAAACAAAATAAAAACAGACAACTGCATTAAAATAAAATTACTAACACTGTGTTGAGGCTCAACAAAACACAAAACCACTAGGTCAGGGGTCTTCAAACTTGGGCCTTTTATGACTTGCGGACTTCAACTCCCAGAATTCCTCAGTGGCAGAGGAATTCTGGGAGTTGAAGTCCGCAAGTCATAAAAGGGCCAGGTTTGAAGACCCCTGCACTAGATGATGCCAAAACTCCCACACTAACATTCCAATTGTGTTTGAGCCTGAGGGCTTTCTTTCTTTATTTAAATTCTCGGTTCTACTTTTGATTATCTTAATTGTTTGTGATTTTATTATTTTTGTTAGTTGCTCCAAGTTGTGTTCTAAGATGAATGACCATACAAATCTTTTTTTCATAAAATTAACCAGTGGAAACAGCTTGCGTTCAGAAATTGTGGGCGCTCCATCACTGGAGATTTTTAAGAAGAGGCTAGAGTAGACAGTCACTTGTCTGAAATGGTATAGGTTCTCCTGCTCGAGCAAGGGGCTGGACTAGAAGACCTCCAAGGTCCCTTCCAGCTCTATTCGATTCAACCCTTATGCCTGGGGGACAAGCCTGGAAGAATTTTTTTTAAAAGAATTATATAAAAATAATATATAGTCCCTCTATTTAAAAAATTCCCCCCCCCCAGAATAACTATGCATATTAATACTTTACAAATTAAATTAAGGATCAAACTTATTTTTTCATAAAGATGGAGTCCAAATCCACTTAAACTACAAAAACTCTAAGAGGTAATAGCTAAATTCATCCCATAATTGCTTTAAATTCTGTAATCTGTGTGAGAAAACAGTTATGCAATTACAATTAGCCATTTTTCCCCTTAATTCTGAAGAAACCAGAGGAGGAAAGATTGTCTAATGATAACATGCTTTAACTTTACTCCCTTACCTTAACACTTCAACTGATATTATTTCTAAAGTTAGCCATTCTTTCCCTGGCTAGAACCCCAAGGTTAATTTAATTTCCTTCTTAATGAAGAAGAGAATTGCAGAACAGAATTATTAGTGCTGGAATTTAGAGAGTCAGAGAGTTTGAAATCTATTTCTTTCTTGAAAGCAATCCTCTAAGCCTCTGACCTTGATACTTGAGAAGCTTAAAAAGAAAACCCTTATATGTGAAGGAACAGGAAATGGAATGCTATGGAAATTCCAAAGTTTTCTCCTTTTTCTGGTGACCATTTCCCAAAGGAAATTAAAATGTCTTTATATTTATTCTCCCTGTTTACATGTCAAATCCTTTGGGGGTTTAATTCAAAGGGGATGTTGTTGTTATGCTTACATTAACAGTCTATTTCAGGGGTCTTCAAACGTGGCCCTTTTATGACTTGTGGACTTCAACTCCCAGAATTCCTCAGCCAAGCACGCGTGCCTGGTTGAGGAATTCTGGGAGTTGAAGTCCACAAGTCATAAAAGGGCCACGTTTGAAGACCCCTGTGCTAAACAGTCAAAAGTCTGAGCAAAAATGTTCAGTGAAGTTAGCTGTCCCCCTAGAATCCTGCAAAGGAAGCCGGATTCCTAGAACGTTCAATTCTGGAACTAAAACATACATCTACTGCAGCTGCCACATGAACAGCAAACAGGCATCCATGTTTCCAATCTATTGTTCCTACTTACCTCTGGTTGACTTGAGATGTTCAGGATCAATGCCCACAGCTCTGCTCTTAATGAATTTGGGGAGCCCTGTCGCACATACTGCTGTGCGGCTGCGCTGTCCTGCTCCGTAAGAACTACAAGAAATGTACATGAAAATACACTTATGGTTGGAGAAAAGGACTAAAAAACAAATGGATTTTTAAGCCAGAATTATTTTTGTTGCGAATAATAGGAGGCAAATTATGAGAAAGACTGCATATATTTAATTTTACGTGTGCTAAGTGCAGCAAGAATTGTATTTGCCCAATATTGGAAAAATGAAAATTTACCAACTGAAGAAGAACTAATTAAGAACATTTTAGAGTGTGCAGAAATGGATAGATTGACTTTAAAGATAAAAGAGAAAGAAGATTCAGTGTATTTTAGAACATGGGATAATTTTTATCAATGGCTAAAAAAACGAGTTAGAGAGAAAGGAATGTGATATGTAACATTGAATATATACTAGTAAGAAGAAGACTATTGAGCGATTAATTAACATATTGTTTATGATAATTAATTATTATTCACTGTTTTTTTAAATACATGAACCCAGACAACATGCTGTTTGCTAAATATTAAGAAAGTTATTTTAAAAAATCCTAACCCTAACCCCAACTCTAACCCCGACCCCATCCTATTCCTAATCCTATAAAAATTATATATATATATATATATACATATATATGTATGTAGGTCTTTGGTTATTCGGGTTTTCTCCCACGTAAAATTGGAAGTGTCTTGGCGACGTTTCGACAAAGTCATCTTCAGGCTGGTGTTTTCGGCTTTGTGCTTCTAGGAGCAATGTTCTTAAGAAACAGCTACGATCACACATTGCTCCTAGAAGCACAAGCCGAAAACACCAGCCTGAAGATGACGAATGGAACTTCGTCGAAACGTCACCAAGACACTTCCAGTTTTACGCAGGAGAAAACACGAATAACCAAAGACCTAGATACAAACACCCACGAAAACCTCAGAAAACAAATATATATGTATATTGATATATATCACAAGACAGTAATTGGACTATGTAACTGTGACCAAAATTTCATTTGCTAAGCCAAACAGTTATTAAGTGAATTTTGCCACATTTTATGACCTTTCTTACCACAGTTTAAGTGAATTACTATGGATGTTAAATTAATAGCATGATTCTTAAGACAAAGGAAAAAAAAACCTCTCATCTTCCAACTGGTGTATTTCGTTATTATTTTAATGTACTTATATGCTACTGCTACTGCTACTTGTTAACTCCCAGTGGTTTACAACAGGACAAACATGTAATTCAAATATAAATATAAAAACAACAATCCTGTTGCTGGCTGATTTGGCTTCCAGAAATTCCAGGAAGGGTTTTTGGACTTGGCTTGGTCTAGGATAGTCAGTTTCCCAGTTGAAACTATGGCTAAGCCTGTCCATGTGTTGTGAAATTTAGGAGTTTTCATTATGTCTTCTGACTTTTAGTTGGTGTTCATGGATGCGTTGCGTTAGTTTTCTGCCTGTATGTTCTACATACTGACCATTGCAGTCCTTACACTGTATGCCAGGGGTCTTCAAACTTGGCCCTCTTATGACTGGTGGACTTCAACTCCCAGAATACCTCAGCCAGGCACACGTGCCTGGCTGAGGAATTCTGGGAGTTGAAGTCCACCAGTCATAAAAGGGCCAAGTTTGAAGACCCCTGCTGTATGCTGTCGATGACTCTGCTTTTTTTCTTCTGGGTCTGCTGGGCCTTTTGGTTTACTCAAGACTGTTTTGGAGGGCTTTAGTTGATGTGTGTGTTGTGGTATTGCCATGTGGTTGTACTGTAATAGTCCGTGGGTGATTTATGATATTTTTTATGTATGTTACCTTTTTATACCGTATGATAGTTGTGCTATATTGGGTTGCGTTTGATGAAGTTGTGTGGATATCCATATGATTGGAAGATGTGGTATAGAATTATAGATGATTTGTTTCCTTTTGGGGGGGGGATGCTCAGGGTTGCAGATCTATCCAGCTGTGCAGTAGTGACTAACCATCAAGCAGAATTAAGATTATTTTCTTTTCCGATGCACCGACATAACTCTATTAATACCAATTAAAGGATATTTTGTGCATAGAAGAGGAGAGAGGCTCTGGTGATTTTCCAGTGAAATTCAAATTAGGAATTCAGCTCTGACAAAGAGCTGTATGTAGGGACCCATTGTTTTAAATTGGCCACCTGTTAAATTCTTTCTGTAGCTAATGGTGATTGTAATGGCCTGGCTATTTGATCTTTTTTACACCTCAGATTGTTCACAACTGCAGCATAATCCTAAACTTGCTTACTTGGAAATCTTCAAGACACTTATCTCTAGGCCAGGGGTAGGCAACCTTGGCTCTTTTAGGACTTGTGGACTTCAACTCCCAGAATTCCTGGGCCAGCATGGGGGAACTATGGCCCCTTCATGACGCGTGGACTTCAACTCCCAGAATTCCTGAGCTGGCATGGCTCAGCTTGGAAACCTCTCCCTTTCCCCTCAGCACGGCTGGCTCAGGAATTCTGGGAGTTGAGGTCCACGAGTCATAAAAGAGCCAAGGTTGCTTACCTCTGGCCTAGGCCTAGGCCGCTTTATGACTCGTGGACTTCAACTCCCAGAATTCCTGAGCCAGCATGGCTCAGCTTGGAAACCTCTCCCTTTCGCCTCAGCATGGCTGGCTCAGGAATTCTGGGAGTTGAAGTCCACAAGTCATAAAAGAGCCAAGGTTGCCCACCCTTGGCTCTAGGACAATGTGATTATTGCAGCATGACTGCTCCTTATGTAGCATAAAATAGAAACGAATGGCAATGGTATTTAAAAAAAACAAAACAAAACAAAAAAACCCCAGTAAGTTAAAAGCGATTAATGTATCCAACTCTTACCTTTTTGACCAAGCCGTACGTGCTCACTTTCAAAAAGCTCTAAAATGTTAATAAGAATAAAGTAAAAGTATTAGTTCTATGAGAATATTTGAGTTTATATATCAGAATTGCTTATTTGAATGTAATGTTCTAGCCATGTACAAAGATTAAACAACAAGACCCACCTGCAGGTACATGTGCAGAATCATCAATATCCATCTGACCAGTGTTCAGGTCTAATTCACTAAAGTATTCCTTCTTGGGGAAGGGGGAATAAAAAGACATTTTTTGAGAGGACAAGGTATGCCACCATACACCATTTGTGAAATCAACATTAAATATCAATATATTGCTTTAATTGGCAAGCTGAACACAGAGCCTAAGACTCATGAGAGCCTCGCACCGTGTAATAAATTCCTTCCCTCAGAAGACTAAAATCCCCAGCATTTTAGCTGAAGACTCAATACAGAAAGTCCTCGGCTTACAAAAGTTCATTTAGTGACCGTTCAAAGTTACAACACCACTGAAAAAAAAATGTGACTCATGACTATTTTTCACTCTTGCAGCATCCCCATGGTGTTGTGATTGAAATATGGATGTTCGGCAACGGGTTCATATTTACGACCGTCGCAGTGACCCGGGGTCATGTGATCCCTTTTTGCGATCTCCTGACAAGCAGTGGGGAAGCCAGAATCACTTAATAACCAGGCTGCCAACTTAACAACTGCAGTGATTCATTTAGCAGCTGTGGCAAAATAGGCCACAAAATGGGGCACAAACGTCTCACTTAGCAACAGAAAATTTGGGCGCAATTGCAGTTGTTAAATCAAGGACCACCTGTATAGTAAAGTGATACTGCACTGCAGTATAACAACTGCCAGAAATGATTTAGTTATTTAAAAGCAGAGACATCACCTTGCCAACAAAAGTGCGTATAGTCAAGGCCATGGTTTTCCCAGTTGCAATGTATGGCTGTGAAGGTTGGACCATAAGAAAGGCTGAGCGCCAAAGAATTGAGGCCTTTGAACTATGGTGCTGGAGAAGACTCCTGCGAGTCCCCTGGACTGCAAGGCGATCAAACCGGTCAGTCCTAGAAGAGATCAACCCTGACTGCTCTTCAGAAGGCCAGATCCTGAAGTTGAAACTCAAATACTTTGGCCACCTAATGAGAAGAAAGGACTCACTGGAGAAGAGCCTAATGCTGCTGGGAAAGATGGAGGGCAAGAGAAGAAGGGGACGACAGAGAATGAGATGGCTGGATGGAGTCACTGAAGCAGGAGGCGTGAGCTTCAATGGACTCAAGAAGTTGGTAGAGGACAGGAAGGCCTGGAGGAAGGTTGTCCATGATGTTGCAATGGGTCGGACACAACTTCGCAACTAACAACAACAATAACAAATAGACTAGAATTTTCTTTACTATCACTTGCCTAAACCCTGAAAAATATTCTTTTGCAGTGGGGGATTTAAAATTCATGTATCAGGAATATTCAGCAATTCTCATATATTCCGATTCAAGGTTTACATGTGCCCCATATGTAGGATGTAGACCACCACTTTTTTACACTAATCCATTCACCCCAGCCCTGCCCCCATTTTTTTCATTCCCTGCAACAGGAAACAAAAAAATTGTTTTCTCCATATACCAAAAGCGCTAGAAGGAGATGATTACCTTTCTTCACCCTTCGTACATATTCATCTTCTAACATTCTGAAGGTCTTCTGCGCTTTAGAAAAATGCTAACCATTTTTTATACATATCTATTCAGGAGAAAGTCCACAGGGCACAGCACCGTACGGTTAAATTAAAATGTTAAATTTTCAAAGAAGCTGCAATGGATGCTTACCAGTTCATGTATATCTCTCACGTTCAGTGGGACCTGAATGAGTCCCAAGTGATTTCTAAAATTAGACAGCTCGCTGGTGTCATAATTTGGATTGCGAAGGTTCATCAGCACCTTTAAAAAGAAGACTAGAATTGACCATGCGTGTGTAAGAACTAAATAAAATATTTTAAAATATCTACTTTATACCAAAAGGACAATTTGTGCCGGCCACATTTTTGTGCCCACTTATCCGCGGGGCCCCCGCCACAGCCAACCCACCACCGGTGTTTATGTTTGGCAAACTCTCCGCAAACATGCTTTCCCACTAATGCTTATTTGTGAATCTAATGACTCAGAAGATCCATTCTCAGGAACTACAAGATTTTGAGTAAAAAAAATGCATATTCAAAACTAAAACCTGATCCATTTTTTTGCAAAAACTTACCTCAAGAAAATCTTTAGGTGCATAAACTGGCCTGAAGAGACTTAGATCTGAAATAAAAAAAAGTTATACAACCCTCAATATTTTGTAGCTCTTTGGACTACACATTCCATTAATAATAATTATCAACTTTTGTTATTTCAGCCTCATTCTAATATCTAACATCCAAGAATATTTCCAGACCAGTAAAACTCATGCAGAATAATTGAAAGCACTAATTGAGAACAACTCTTAGAAAGGTGTTTTTTTTTAATGAAGAAAAAAAGAATGAACAAAAATATCAATAAATAATTGAGGCTGGTCTATTTTAACTTGTTTAACATTAAAGGATAAGGTACATTGGAATAATCAAAGTATCTGTGCACTCTTTGAGAGATGGGAGGGAGATGTTTCCTGTCTTTCTCTTATATATTCTTTTTAAAGCAGTAAAAGTAAGTTTGCACGTGCACATCTCCTGGGTCCGATTTTAATTTTCATAATGAAGGCGTGCTGTACCTGGTTCATCCGTTCCCATTTCGTTCCATTTGTTCAAAAGTTCTTTTTGCTCACTCAGTGGTCTCTGTAGAGCACACACACACACAAAAAACAGGATGTAGTGAAATCTAATAGGGACACATACCTAAAATATACACAAGACTATAAATAAATTTTACATTTAATAATAACGGTACCTTCTGTGATAGTGGAATGCCAAGTTCTATACACATGCTGTTCAGGCTCTTCAGAATACGTTTTTCCCAGTTTGCCTGGAGAAGAGAACATATATCAATAGAATCAATTCATCTTCCTCCTAATTATAATTTCTGATTGGAAGGTATTCTCCCATTTACTCTTTCAATTTAAATTTTAAATACCGGTATAGATTATATGCGTACGTACATTTCCATCTAATCTGCCTGTTCCGAGCAGGGCAATGTCAAGTCCACACTTCTCAATTGTGTTTACTATGCACAGCTGCAGAAGTAGTTTTTAAGTATTGGCAGAGAAACCCTGCAAATGTTATCTTGTTCAGAAACAGGACAGGACAATTGGTGGCATATTACTGTTTTAATATCCATAGCCAGTGAGCACGGAGCAAATATTGTACCACACAATCCAGTGCACTGGTCATTCCACTTTTGAACAAAAAGACTGAAATATGTGCTATTTAACTTTGCAGTCTCCGGTCATTTTCCCTATCAAAACTTTTGTTTTGATCAGGATTTGATTTTTTTCCAACAACAAAAGATAGATAGATAGATAGATAGATAGATAGATAGATAGATAGATAGATAGATAGATACAGACAGAGAGAGAGAGAGAGGTATAGATATATATAGATAGATAGATATAGATAGATATACACACATACATACACATACACATACACACAGATATATATATATATATAATATAGATAGATAAATAGATATAGATACATATATACATACACATACACACAGATAGATATAGATATAGATAGATAGATATATACACACATACATACACATACACACACACACACACACACACACACACACACACACACACATATAAATAAATAAATATATGTTTTCTGAGGTTTTCGCGGGTGTTTGTATGTAGATCTTTGGTTGTTCAGGTTTTCTCCCATGTAAAATTGGAAGTGTCTTGGCGACGTTTTGACGAAGTCCCATTCGTCATCTGCTCCTCGAAGCACGAAGCTGAAAGCACCAGCCTGAAGATAACAAATGGGACTTCGTCGAAACGTCGCCAAGACACTTCCAATTTTACGCGGGAGAAAACCCGAACAACCAAAGACCTACAAATAAATATATATATATATATATTCAATAATGTGAGTAAAAATGCGACTCCCGGGCATAGTTATAAATAAAATAAATACGACAGGAATGAACGCCATCAAAAGAGAGGGAGATATAAGATTACTAATGAATCCAAAAATCAACAACAGAAGGATAGATAAGGGAACCCGAAGGAACGATAAGAAAGAACATAACGTCAGAGATGTATTCCGAACACCGGCTGATCAGCTGGGGCCAGTTACCCGGTCAAAGAGCCGTGTGCAAACGTCGACCAAACCCATTTAAACCATCTTTCCTAGAATGGCCTTTTAGCCCTGATGATGTTGGGGAGTTTCCCCAATGAAAGCTTGGCAACCTTTTTATTAAAGTATTTTTAGTAAATTATTTTTACTTATAATTCTCCCGGTGATCGTGTATTATTTTATTTATTTATATGTATGTATGTATGTATGTATGTGTCATTTAGGGAAGAGCGGGATGTACGATTTCCTCTTAATTCATCAACCCCCTCCGGTGTGATATTCCCCCAAGCCAACTGGCCGAACCAGGTCAAACGCTTAGCATATACATATATATCCATATTTGAGCATGTGCAGTAAAATTTAATCAAATCAAACCTGAGCTTTTCTCATGTAAGCTAAAGGTTCCTTGATATGTTCGGGAGGCACTGATGGAGAACAAGGTAAAGGAAACCTAAAAGGAAAAAAATAGATATATTTTAGCGCAAGTACTATTCAGACCCACATTTCTGGATAAATCTTTATAGATCAGATGTTTCTTAGAGACAAGTACATTTTCAGGCACAATATATAGCACTAGCACTAAGACTTATACCATTTCATCGTGCTTTATAGCAGGGGTCCCCAACTCCTGGGCCGTGGACCAGTACCGGACCGTGGCGTGCCAGCAACCGGGCCGCACAAACAAGCAAAGCCCCATCCAAGGGATGCAGGCAGCACACAAAACCACATACCCTCCAGTCCACGGAAAATCCTCTCTCCAAGGAACTGGTCCCTGGTGCCCAAAAGGTTGGGGACCTTTGCTTTATAGCACTTCACAGTGCTTTACAGCCCACCGCACCACCACGGCTCTCAATATATGGTGTCATGATCAGTCCATGGCCTTGTGAAATATTGCTAGAGGCAATTATGTTTCACTATTTATCCTGGCAATACGGTAGGATGAAATTGAAGAGAAATGTGAGGAATTGATCATTGCTTCGAAGACTTAACCTCCGACAATTCATTCTTTGTTCCCTGCTAACTTCCCACAAGGTCAGTGGGGAAGCCTGCAAGAAGTCAGAAGAAGTCAGCAAAAAGTCAAAAATCACAGCCACGTTAAGTCCTCGCTTAATGACCCAAACGATCCTCTCAGGAGGCTCCAATGCAGTGGTTCTCAACCTTTTTAATGCCGCGACCCCCAACCGGTCGTAAGTCGAGGACTACTCAACCGGTCGTAAGTCGAGGACTACTCAACTGGTGCAGCACCGTTTGCAGAATGGGACTTTTGGCGGGCTCAGCAGGGCAGAGACAGCCTGGACAATTCCTATTGGCTTTTGAAAGCCAATAGAATTAGACTCTATTCAAGAGAGTCTATTCTATTGGCTTTCAAAAGCCAATAGAATAAAAGGGAGTAGCACAGCTAAGGAAAAAGGGGAAAAAATGGCGGACTGCGTTGTTTGGCAACCCCTGTGAAATGGTCGTTCGACCCCAAATGGGGTCCCGACCCACAGGTTGAGAACCACTGCTCTAATGTGTTCAACCAAGAATGAGTTGCAATGGAAACAAATGTCATACAGGTAGTCCTTGACGTACAACCATTCTCCTTAATGATCATTCAGAGTTGTTGTTGCCGTTGTCCACCCTGTGGACCCAGGACCGTTGCGCTAGGCTTGCCACCAATCTTATTGTGAAGCATGCAGAGGATATAACAGTGGTGGGCCTTATTCAGAATGACAATGAAGCTGCTTACTACAAGGCAGAGGATTTGGTGAACAAAACCAGCCTCATTTTAAACACAGGAAAAACTAAACAGATCATTGTTGGCTTCAGAAAAGGCAGACACAACCACACACCTCTGTGTATTAATAATTCATCTGTGGAGGTGGTTTCTGGGGGTGCAGGTAACAAGTAGGCTAGTTTGGTCGCTCAACAGGGAGACACTGGTGAAGTGGGCATAGCAGCACCTGCATTTCCTACGTCACATGAGAAAAGCACATCTTCCTTCCCCTGTCCTTATCACTTTCTACAGAGGGGCGACCGAGAGCATCCTGTCATACTGCATTACTGTCTGATTTGGAAGTATTACTGCTTCAGACACGAAGGCGATGCAGAGAGTGGTGAGGACAGCAGAAAATATTACTGGCAGTTCACTTCCTTCTATCCATGGCACATAAGCGTTGCTTGAGCAGGGTCCGCAGGATTGCCTGGGATGCGACACGTCCTTTTCACAACCTGTTTTCCTTGTTACCTTCTGGGAGGAGGCTTCATGTGATCCGAAGCAGAACATCCAGATTCAGTCACAGCTTTGTTCCATACAGCATCGACCTTGTGAACTCTCAAGCTTCCTCAAGTTACAACAGCACTGGTAAAAGTAATTTGTGGCCAGTTTTCACACTTATGACTGTTGCAGCATCCCTATGGTCACACGATCAAGATTTGGGCTCTTGGCAACTGGCAGGTACTTATGTCAGTTGCATGATCCCAAGGTCACGGGATCACGATTTGTAACCTTCCCAACTGGCGTCCGACAAGCAAAATCAACGGGGAAGCCTGATTCACTTAGCAACTGCAGCTATTTGCTTAACAACTGTGGCATAAAAGGTCATAGCGTGGGGCAAAACTCACTTAACAATGGGAATTTGGGGGTCAATTGTGGCTGTAAGTCGAGGACCACCTGCAAACATTAAGTTAGGGGTTTCCCAGCAGAATCCAGGGGAGAAGTGAAGAATTTCTTTTACTCACACTTCGTTACAAGAAAATCCATCTTTCCCACAGTTTTACTGTATTGTTTTGGGTGTTTGGATTTGTAGGGAATGTTGCACATTAGGATTACACTAAAGAAAAGGGTGATGGCAAAATTTTACGAACCTCCGAGGTAAGAAACACTGCATGCAAACATGACGCCAAAGTTACACCAGCACTGAGACAAAAACAAAACTCACATACTGATTTCTCTATAAACAGCATTGTGCAGCTTCTTTTCCCAACCTGGCAAAATAAGTTAAAAAAAACAAACAAACCTGAAGATTAGAAAAACTCATAATTCGGATGTTAAAAACTTGAGAATAATTAGATGGGGTAAGAAAGAGAATTTTTAGCATTAAAAACACATGAAAGCACAGAACTGGACAGATTTCAGCCTGTGAAATCTCAGGTATAGGGGTCAGCAGTTCAGTTAGCAAGCTTCTTAAAGCAAGGAAGAGGTATCAAAAAGATTGCATAGAAAATTGGAGCAATATCAGCTTGGACTCCATGGTTGTTAGCGGAGAATAAAGATACATTTTTATAAGCTGTTTCGGTGAAGGTATTTATTAGTCTGTTGAAAATTAGCCTCGAATAGATGGATGTAAAATTCAGCACTTATTCAAACCCAAAATCTTAAAATATAATGAATAAAAAATCACAAACCTGAGGCCTTCAGGAATTCCTTAATATCTTCCTTTAGGGACTGTAGCTTAATCTCTGGATTATGTAAACTGAGCTAACAAGAAAGATAAACATAACAAAAGGGTCAACATTCTTCAAACGTCATGGGAAGATGGACATGCTGCAATAGGGTTGTGACTGTGAGGACGGCTTGTAAGCCACTTTTTTCAATGCCGTCGTAACTTGGAACAGTTGCTAAATGGATGGCTGTTAAGTCAACAACTATCTCTATGTACGTGATAGACGTCACTTAACTAAATTTTAGTTACTTTAATCCGGTGCTTCCTGACTGTATTAGCATTTGTGCTATTCCAGTTTGAACCTCACATCTATTCTAAAATAGAGGGGGTTGTATGTTTTTAGATCCTTTATGCTTTTTTTAATGATTGTACCCTACTCTCCTTAATCTTAGAATGTGAAGGATGTGTGTATAGAATGTATGTTCTTATCTGTGGTTTTTACTTGTGTGTATAGTGTGCACTGTGGGCAGCACTTAATTTTGTTGTGAGTTACACAATGACAATAGTTCTATTCTACTCCGGTCTATAAAGATCTAATTAACTCATATTAAATGTGTAATTATCAACTTCAAATAGACTAATCTACTTACACATCTTAAAAAATGAAATACGGTAAAATTAACACTAAGAAAAAATAAATGTTTCTTTGCTTTATACTTTCAAAAATAAATACCGAAAATGACAATCAATTGGATGAAATTTGAAGTTTCTGTAATGAATTGAAGTGAATTAACATTATTTTTTAATTCAGATAGCTATTGTGTAATGGAAGAAGAAATAAATGAGATTGGTGATAAGAGGAAGGATGAGAGAAATTAAGAACTAGAATATATCTGGAAGGGATACCTGAACTGATAACTTGTTGAGTTAAAGTGAAATTTGATTTTGGTAATTGTAAACTGATAACATTTTAAAACGGGTTTAGTAGTAATAGAAATTTAATTTAGAAATGGAATATTTTAAACGTATTATGTTATTTGAGGGAAATAGAGAGGAGACAGTGAATGTATTGAGTTGAGTTGTTTATTTATGTTTTTACTTTGGAATGTCTGATTACCCAAACACCACAGTGTGTCCTGAGTACTTTTTCTTAAAAATTAAAAAAACAATAAAATATTTCCAAAAAAATAAATAAATAAATACCAAACGAAGCTGATTTTTGAGAAACCTTTGCTCTTATTTGTTTTCAGCATAATCTTGAAGATATACAGTAAACAGCTTGAAGCTTTGTAAGAATAAACAGACCCTGCTTGATGCCTTTCCTAACAATTTGCATCAATGCACTGACACGGTACTGCCAAGTAACAAGTCTTAATTCAGATGGTAAGTGACAGCAGATTTCTGCACGTCAGACTTTCTGAACACAGAATCTGGAAACAAATGAATGCTCAGGATTATTGTACATTAAAAGCATTTAAGGGGCTATTTCAAAATATTCCACAGAATATTAATATTTATATATTCTATAAAATATTTAGAAATCTGAGCAATCCGTAAGACTCAGGCACAGTGCAAGCTGGTAAATAATATTTCAGCCCTTTTCATACAAAAAAAAAAAAAAATACTGCAGCCTAAGCTTTTCTACGTTTACTCAGAAAGTATTATTCCCATGGTAATTCTAGGAAATATAGTATCATAATGCATCTTATAAAAATATGGACCTACACCAATTATTCTAATTTTGATGCCATCCTGAACCTTCCATCTTATAGATAACCAGATGGAAATAGTAAAGTAGAAAAGAAAAACAGAAGTATATTAACTTGACAATACTAATTATAGGTAACCTTGACTTACGACAACTGAGCCAAAATTTCCATTACCAAGTAAGATCATTGTTAAGTGAGTTTTGCCCCATTTTATGACCTTGCCACAGTTCTTAAGTGAATCACTGCAGATGTTAAGTTAGTAATACAGTTCTTAACTGTTAAGTCTCGTTTATTAGGTGGCAGGCCTCTGTCTGTTTAAATTCCAAAATCCCAGAACACTTCCGTTTCTTCATTTTTTTTATTACTATTTTTTGATTCCACCAATTAATATTATTACTGCAGTGCATCAGGAAAAGCAATACTTTTATCAATGTACTGGAAGAAAAGGACACTGTTTTTTATTCTGGTTTGAATACAGTGAGAGAGAAAAGATACTACAATGTTGGTATTGGCAAGAAAAAATATTATTATTATTATTATTGAAATAGACTACAAGTAAAAGTGATTAATACATCAGAGAAAAATATTATTGTTATAATGCATTTGTAAAAAGGGTATTATTATGAATGTATTGGGAAGAAATAGTGATATGTGTGTGTAATCTATAGTTAGATTCATAGTTTAAATCTGGTGGAAACTGAATAAGTCAAGTCCTAACCACAGATTATTGCTATTATTATCATAACACAGTATGAAAGAGAAATAGATAGTATAATGTATGCATTGGCAACAAAAAAAACTGATACTATTCTTCTTGTTGCCATTATTATTATTATTATTATTGATCATCGCACAGTCAGCCCGATGTTCAGACTGGATTTGGCATTTTTGTCGACCTATCAAGTCCTTCCCAAGGACCTGGGATAGGCAGATGTGGATGTTTGATGGTATTACAGGTATCGTCGCAGGATGGAAGCAGTTCCTAGTAAGGCCGCCTTTTGCAATTGACTAATAGCGAATTTGTCAATGCCAATGGTGTTCAAGTGGTGCTCCAGTTATTTTGGGATTGCACCCAAGGAGCCTATGACTATTGGTACTACCTTTGCTTGCCTTTGCCACGGTCTTTCTATTTCTATTTGTAGGTCTTTGTATTTTGTTATCTTCTCCAGTTCTTTCTCGTCTATTCTGCCATCTCCAGGCACTGCCACGTCCACTATCCACACTATTATTATTATTATTATTATTATTATTATTATTATTATTATTATTATTATTGGAAAGCACTAGGAGGAAGAATATGTTATTAGAGGTAGTCCTCGAATTATGACCTCAATTGAGCCCAAAATTTCTGTTGCTAAATGAGACATTTGTTAAGTGAGTTTTGCCCAATTTTATGATCTTTTTTGCCACAGTTGTTAAATGAATCACTGCAGTTGTTCAGTTAGTAACATGGTTGTTAGGTGAATCTGGCTTCCCCCAGTGACTTTGCTTCTCAGGTCACAAAAGGTGACCACATGACCCAGGGACACTGCAACCTCATAAATAGGGATCAGTTATCAAGCCTCTGATACAACAGTTGTAAATGTGAAAAACGGTCATAAGTCACGTTGTAACTTTGAACAGTCACTAAATAAAGTATTGTAAGTCCAGGACTACCTGTACTGCAATGGATGTTTTGGGAGAAAGTGATATTATTGTTATCATTAACAATGTTATCACTGACAATCTTATCATTGTCAGCCAGATGTTTGAACTGGGTTTGGCAGTTTTATATACTATTGAGTCATAATTGGGATAGACTGATGTTATTTACTAATATTAAAGATATAGCCACAGGATATGTTCCAAGTCAAATGCTTTTTGTAATTGACTGATGGTGATTTTGTCAATGCCGATGATGTTCAAGAGATGCTCCAGGTGACTTGGAACTACAGCCAAGGCTTCTGTTATTATTAATACTATCTGGATGATATCTGGATTATTACAAACACCCAAGCATCCTTCAAGCTGACAACATCAAGTACACTAAAATCAAGAAGACATTAGAAAGTGAATACATCAAGAGAGGGAAGAACATCTTAAGGTCCAAACTTTAAGAGTGCAGGAAATGCCATCGAGGCAATTAACACCTGGGCAATTCCAGTTATTAGATACACAGTTGGAATAGTGGACTGGATTCAAGAAAGCCTTGACCAAAAGGCCTGGGTAGGAAGGCCAGAAAAATAATGAATCATATCCTTCCTCCATGTGGCATAAAACTTAATTTTTAATGTTAACCGCTGCAGGATCTAAACTGTTCCAAGCAAAGCTGCCTTTTGCAATTGACTGATGGTAATTATTGTAATGAATCTGGATGAAGAAAAGTAATTATGAATGCATTGGGAGGAAATATTATTGCAATGAATTAGGAGAGAACAGAGTATGAATACATTAGGAGGCAAAAGATATTTAGCAGTAGTATATTGCTATGAATGGGAGAGAACAGAGTATGAATGCATTGGGACAGAAAAGATATTTATTATCATCATCATCATCATCATCATTGATCATTGCACAATCAACCAGATGTTCAGATTGAGTTTGGCATTTTTGTCTACCTGTCAACTCCTTACCAAAGACCTGAGATAGGCAGATGTGGATGTTTGATGGTGTTACGGATATCATCACAGGATGGAAACTGTTCCCAGTAAAGTTCCCGCCTTTTGCTGCTGCTATTATTATTGTTGTTTTTGTTTTTAATTATTATTCAGTCTGGGACTGGTAAAAATTTAACAGTTCAAGTCCTAACCAAGGACCTAAGAGCTGTTAAGGTAACATCTGAGTATATACCGTATTTTCCAGCGTATAAGACAACTGGGCATATAACACGACCCCTGACTTTTGAGAAGATTTTCATGGTTTAGAAAATCGTCTTATATGCCGGAAAATACGATAGGCAGTTGTAAGTAGGGTGATTTTTTGCAAAGTCAGGATGATATTATAATGATGATGAATTGAGAGGGAACAGATTATGAGTGCTTTAGCATCCAAAGGATATTATTAGTATTAGTATTAGTATTATTAACAGTCTGAGATTGGTAAAAACTTAACAGTTCAAGTCCTAACCAAATAACTGTTAAGGTAGCATCTGAGTATATAGACAGTTCCAAGTTGGATATTTTTTTTGCAAAGTCAGGATATTATTATTATTGTATTATTATTAATAATATTAATATTGTTTTATTATTATTACTATTATTATTATTGTGATTATTATTGCAATGAATTGGGAGGGAACAGATTATGAATATTTTAGGAGAAAAAACATATTTAGTATTCTAATTACTATTGCAATGACTTGTGAGGAAATGATACTGTTGTCGTTATCGTTATCATTATTTTTGCAATGCAGCGAGATTTTAAAAAAAAAGATACTACAATTGCATGCATGTACTGGCAGCAAGCAACAAAAGATTTCTGTCTGTTATTATTAGAGGGGAGCCGAGCGCAGTGCCGGGTAAGAAGCAAGGAGGAGAGGCGGGGCAGGGCAGAAAAAAGGCTGCGGCGGGGAGGAGGAACCCAAAGCGCGGCTCAAGCCGCCTCACCCGAGCCTGTCGCTCCAGCTGGGCGTGAAGTCCGGAGCTTTTCAGCCTCTCCACGATCTGGGCGATGGTCAGGGAGAGGCCGTCATCCGGCGCGGCTAGCATGGCGCCCACGGACCAAGGAGGGCTTGTGATTTTTCGGTGTTGCGGCACGGGGGACCGAATTCAGCGACACTCCCGCTAGACAAGGTTCGGCTCAACGGGCCGAGTTGCCTGGCGTTGCCGGGCAACGGTGCGGGGCGGGGGCCGCGGGGAGGCGTTCCCCAGGAAACGCCGCCTGGGGAAGCCGCGTTCCGACCGCTTGTAGCGCCCTAGCGAGCAAAGCGCCCGAGATTTTTTTTTTAAAAAAAAAGTCTTTTGTAGAGGCAGAAACTGTGCAAATCATTTCACGCATACACACAAGCATACACACGTGTCCTCGTCTCGGAGTCCACATAAAACCAACCTCGGACAAAAAAGGGGTTTACAACTTGGCAGGACCGGGACTCAAGATGGGTTCATGCCATCTGCCCGGTCTTTTTGGAATACATTCAGAATAACAGTTGGAAAGGATCTTTGAGGTAGAATAGAATAGAGCTGGAAGGGACTTTGAAGGTCTTCTAGTCCAGCCCCCCACACACACTCAAGCAGGAGGACCATCTCAGACAAGTGACTGTATAATCTCTTCTTTAAAATCTCCAGTGATGGAGCACCCACGATTTCTGGAGGCAAGCTGTTCCACTGGTTAATTGTGGAATTAATCCACTTGTCAGGAAGTTTCTCCTTAATTCCAGTTTGCTTCTCTCTTTGATCAGTTTCCAAGCATTGTTTCTTGTCTTGCCTTCTGGTGCTTTGGAGAATAACGCGACCTCCCTCTTCTTTGTGGCAGCCCCTCAGATACTGGGACACTGCTATCATGTCTCCCCTACTTCTTCTTTTCTTTAGACTAGCCAAATCCAAGTCCTGCAGCCGTTCTTTGTATATTTTAGTCTCCGGGCCTTTGATCCTCTTAGTTGCTCCTCTCTGAATTTTTCCCAAACTCTCAACATCTTTTTTGTGATATGGTGACCAAAACTGGCTGCAGTATGCCAGGTGTGGTCTCAGTAGGGTTTTATAAAGCGGTACTAATAGTTCGTGGGATCTTGATTCTATGCAGTGATGGGATTCAGCCGGTTCACACCACCTCGGCAGAACCGGTAGCTAATTTTTTGTTACCCAGGTGCAGAATGGACTTCCGGAAGTGGCATCAACACAGAGAACCGGTTGTTCACATAGTTGAATTCCCACCACTCAGTGCATTTTTTGTAAAAAAAAAAAAAAAAAAGTGCCGGAACTTACACATGTCATACAACCCGCCTTGCCTACCCTACAAGATTCCATCCAAAAAAGTTGCCGGAACTCCGTTCTGGGCGTTCTATGAGAAAAAAAAGCCCTGACACCACTGATTCTATACCTGTGTTTTTAAGGTGACCAACTGTCCTCCTTTAGGGAGGACAGTCCTCCTTTTGTAAGTTCTGTCCTCCCTTGAAAAGTGTCCTCCTACATGTCCTCCTTTTCGATATTTGAAGACTAATCTGCAGGAGTTTTTTTTTTTCTCAGAACGCTCAGAACAGTGTTCTGGCACCTTTTTTGATGGTTTTTTTTTTCAACTTTTGCATGAGTTGTGCTACTCCCGCTGTTGGCTTTTGAAAGCCAATAGGAATTGCTGCTGAGCGCACCAAAACACCCGGCTGGCAAACTTTGCTCATGCAAGTTGTCTGTATTATTGTTGCAATGAATAAAATGTTTCTTTTATTTACAATATTTTTTTCTTCAATTTATTTGTGTCCTTTTCATTGTAAAAAAGTTGGTCACCTTACTGTTTATACAACCGAGGATTGCATTAGCTTGTATTAGTAGGTCTTCTACTTCAATGGTCTCTATCCATTCTGGACAAATGGCTGTCTTATCTCTTCTAAAAACATTATCTTCTTAAATTAAAACAAAAAAAGATTCAATGGAGGTGAAGGGAAGCTTTTCTCTACCCAAGTTTTGCAAACAAGGGAAAATACAAATTGGGGCAAGCAACCAAATCGGGGGTTAATCCAAGACAGAGAAATTGTATTCGTTCATCAATTCCATAGATTTTTATATGCAACCTATCTTGCAGGAACTCAGATTGCAGCTGCTTTATGAATAGGATTTGGTGGCTTTCCCTGTTCAAAAAGAGAGGAAGTGATGCACATATCCTCTAAATATACCTATTAATAGTTAATTATTAATATGTTTTTTTAAAAAAATCAAAACAGTATAAATGGGGAAAAATGTATACTCAAGAAAGACTAAGACATGTTAAAAGAAAAAAGAAAATAAGATACAATTGTTCCTATTGAACTGAAAATACAGTTCTAATGAATCAAATACAGTCATAAATAGCAAATAAATATGCTAGGCTAGGTCAATGTTGAAAACCATAGACAAAATCAATTCAGTAAGTAAGAGAACCCAACTTCCAGGTTTGGCATGAACCTATATTAGAATTAGAATCCAAGAATGGTGTCCTAACTGCATCGCATTCACTTTTTATGGAGGAAATCATTCTTGACATCAGGGCATATTTCCACAATTTCATTAGCGATTCTTCTCAAAAGGAAGATCAGAGTTCCTCTCAATACAAAATTCCTGCAGCAGAAAGTATATTGAGCACCAACTCAGTGAACTTTGAAGAAATAACAAGAACATTCTCACAGCTGAAAATTATTAATATAGTTCTGATTATGTGCTATCGACCACATAGAATAACTCTCTCCAAAACCCCTCTAAGACATAGGCATAATTGAAAAGGAAATGCAATGCAAAATGAAACAATTACTGTATTTATGACACTATAGGTAAGAATGAACCCTGATAATACTTTCAGAAAGAACTACTTTGACTGCTTGAAACCTGAAAAACCTAAGAGAAAACAAAGGTCTTTTAGCTATGTGTGGAGCAAGCAGTTGATAATGTTGCAGTTTTCATGTTAGATAAATAGCAGTGCTACTTTGGTTTACCTTCGACATAAAACTCAAGTAACTGGAAAAAATGTATTAGTCAGACACTTAAAATGGAGTATTTTAAAGGTTAATCTGTTTTCCTTATAAAGGTGACAGAGAAGAAAACGAATCTCTGTGCATATTATGTCTGAACTCCAGGGCTCCTGTGTCCTAATGTGGAATTTTATGATTAAATACAGTAACGCAGATGCAACTGGTTATTATAAATCTTCCTTGAAAAAAATGGCATTACATTTAAAACACAAAATTTAATAATACGATAAATTTCTTATTGTTGTAATAGACCCCTATTGTTAATAGATTAAAATGTTTTCTCCTTTAGTATTTTAGTATTCCTCAATCTTTTCTCATATACATTTACAGGTAGTCTTTGATATATAGCAGTTCATTTAGTGACTATGCAAAGTTACAATGGTACTGAAAAAAGTGACTTATGACCGTTTTTCACAGATACGACAGTTGCAGCATCCCCATGATAATTGTGATCAAAATTCAGACGCTTGGCAAATGGCTCAGATTTATGATGCATCAAATTTACGATGCAGTGTCCCAGGATCATGTGATCACCCTTTGCAGCCTTCAGACTAGCAAAGTCAATGGGGAAGCCAGCTTCACCTTACAACTGTGGGAAGTCAGCTCCCCAGAGAAGGAAATATTAAAAGGGCAGGATACATTTCCCTAAAGGATTTAAAAAGCAGAAACCAACCCTGCCCCGAAGTCTCTGTGTCCCAAGCAGAAACCAAGTCTGCAGAATTGCAGATGATAATCTTGTCAGAAAGACTTCCTTCCTTCTTTCCTTTCTTTTCCTTCCTTCCTTCCTTCCTTCCTTCCTTCCTTCCTTCCTTCCTTCCTTCCTTCTTCCTTCCTTCCTTCCTTCCTTCTTTCTTCTTTCTTTCCTTCTTTCTTCTTCCTTTCTTTTTCTTCCTTTCTTCTTTCTTCTTTCTTCTTCCTTTCTTTTTCTTCTTTCTTTCTTTTTCTTCTTTCTTTCTTTCTTTCTTTCTTTCTTTCTTTCCATTGCAAGTTGGTTCAACTTATTTTTATTTGGGAGTGAGGCTACCATCACAGTTCTTCTTCCTACAATCCTTGTATGTGTGCATGCTCACAGAGAGAGGGAGGGAAGGAGAGAGGGAGAGAGAGAGAGAGAGAGAGAGAGAGAGAGAGAGAGAGAGAGAGAGAGAACACAATACATTTTTATTTTCTTGAGGGTCTTTGTAAAGTTAAAGTTTTGAGGGGTGTATGTTGGCTATAATGAGGAGGAAAGGATAAGATACATTCCCATGTGCTAAGAATTGCCTCTCACACACTGTTTGATACAGCCCATTTTAATTAAATTGCCAATTTCTTAGCAGAATTAACAGTATAGGGCAAGACAGAAGGCGAAAAACAGAGCAGCAAAATCAAGAAGGATCTGAAAGAAAGTTCACTTATACATCTCATTCCCTTCGTAGACCACTTGCCTCTTTACTGCAATGCAGTCTTATCATCCTTGACTCAGTAAATCTTTCAAATAATCTCTAGACAATAGTAGAAGCTACGTTAATAAATATAGCAAAGAGATTGGTGTATGCTCAAAACTGGAGGAATAAAGGAATTCCAACAGAAGAAGAGATTATATATAAAATTTTATTGTGTGCTGAAATGGCTAGGCTCACAATGGAAATGAAGGATAAGACAGAATCAGACTGTTTCGAGATCTGGGACAAATTTTTTTACTGGTGTGAATCAAGGGGAACTGCTCGGGTTTTAAATTAGCGTTAAGACAGACATATATAACTGTATATATAACTGTATTGTATAGAAGAATATGTTTATATAGAGATCAAGAATTATGTATTAATTATATGTATTAAGAGGAACAAAATGTTAGGAATATTTATTTTGGAATGTCACATTATGTCCATCCTTGTTTTTAACTGTATTATAAATAAAAAAATTTAAAAAATAAAAATAAATATAGCAAAGAAGGTGCTGCTACTTGGAAAAACATAATGGAGTGAATTGGGGCAACAAACAGAATGAAAAGAGTATTTGTTGTTAGTTGCGAAGTCATGTCCGACCCATCGCGACCCCATGGACAACGTTCCTCCAGGCCTTCCTGTCCTCTACCATCTTCTGGAGTCCATTTAAGCTCACGCCTACTGCTTCGGTGACTCCATCCAGCCACCTCGTTCTCTGTCGTCTCGTTCTTCTCTTGCCCTCAATCTTTCCCAGCATTAG